CAGTGTATTTGCTGAATGACAAGAGCAGCCATAGAATTTGGATTTCTGCTCCGGATAGAAAGGGCTGTTGAAACCTGTACATGTCCTTCCGACTGGCTTGTTCGTTAAGATGCCAGGCCTCTCAGAGCTGGGAAACACGCCTGGGCGAGGGGACGGAAAATGAATGGAGCGCTCTCCACAGTGATGCGCCTTTGGTTCCTGGGCGTCCCTTTAAGGACTGCTGAATCGGAAGCCAGATCTAGGCGATCCCATGCAAATGTGTTCATTAAAAGCGGTTCCTCGGGCTCCCTTCCGGGATCTTCCAGACTCTGCACCGCACGGAACGTGGCAGATTCGGTGCATCCGTTACCATCTCCGACAGGTAACACCATTCTGCAGCGAGAAGACTGGCTCAGCACCTCTAGTTGTAAACAAAGCAGACCGATCACCATAGCAGGTACACACAGCGCTCCAGCTGAATGCCTTTTACAAGGACCAGGCTGGGTTGTTTGTTCGCTTCTCTCCGAATGCGTTTCTCTTGACTTGATGGTGCTGAGCTTCCCACAGGGTTGGGGGTGCACCGACGATATATATTGAGAAAGTAAAACGTGCCCATTTTCATTTAATAAGACATCTGTCTAGGCCTGTCACCTTCCTAAAGTGTTTTACAAATACTAACTGGCCTCCGTGCAAAGGATAAACCACCCTGGAGGCACCGCACTGGGTCCGTCCGTGTCTGGTCTGTTCCCGTCTGTCCGGCTCTGCTTTTAGACTCTCAGAGCTGGAAATATTTCTGGGCAGATGGAACTAAAAATGAATTGAAAACTGTCGACAGGGGATGTGCGTTGGCTCCTGGGTTTCCCTTAAAGGTAAGGTAACCAGACGTCCCGCTTTTGACGGAACAGTCCTGATTTTTAACAATTTTTCCGCGTCCTGCAACGTTTTTTAAAAGTCCTGATTTTTGGAAAGAATTCACAACAAGCTAGGGTAGACGGTTTTCGGCTGCCATGTGGCTATTTCGCCAGGATATGAGTTTTATCAATGGTGTCCCACTTTTGTCCCGCTTTACCAATGATAAAATCTGGTCACCTTACTTAAAGGGCAGCTCCCCTCCTCCTTTCTGGGCCTTTTCCTAATGCCCAGGCTTCACAGATCTCTCAGGCTCTGCCCTGGGGCACGGGCAGTTCCTAGACTTCAACCTTGAAAGAACTTGGAATCCCTGGTAGACTGTGAGGGTTCACACGGCGAGGCCTGGTCTTTGCCTCTCAAATATGTCCCCCTTCTCTATCCGCTGGGGAGCGCCATCCTGTCTAAGTGTCTGCAGGAAGCGATGCATTTCTGTTTTGTAAGGTACATCTCAGAGTTTCCCATACCTTGCTGCAAAGGCGAATGCGTTCCGTTGCTACCTGAAAGGTTGGAGGTCCAAGTGCGCTCAGAAGCCCCTCAGAAGAAAGGCCTGGAAGTCACTTCTGCAAAGCCAGCCCCTGGAAACCCCGGAGCCGTGCGTGGGTCAGCATTCCCTCAAGATTACATACGGACATTCCCTTTGAGGACACCTGCTAGACGGCTCTTCTTTTAGTGAGATTGATTTCGCTCGCCACTTCTCCTTCAGGGCCAGCAGGACATGACCCCTTCCTAACACCTTCATGAACGACAATTAGTTGGAGGCTCCTGGTTCGGCCGCCTCTGCTGCTTCGCTACCACCTCCCGGGTGTCCCCGCTGTCTCCTGGATCAAGGAGGCTCAATGCACCACCTCAGGATCCAAGGCCACGCTCCTCTTAGCTCTTGTCTTTTGAGAGCCCCCTTCCTGCTTCCGGGAAGGCTAACTCACTGCCACCCAGAGGGACGGCAAGCACACTGGATTCTGCTCACAGTGTTCGCACTCACTCCCAGTGGAATCCCATCATCCAATCAGTGTATCCCCCACCCCCACCCCGCACTGCTGCAAGGATGCCACAGGGAAAGCGCATCATTTGGCAGGAGTCACAAAGGCCCTATCAAACACAGAGCCCTGTTCACCATCGCAGGCAGTAAACGCAAACATGCGTGCCTTAGCGTTAGCGAGGGGGAAAGAGAAGCCAGACCGTATCATTTTAAAGGCCTACGGTTTATTGTTTATTTATTTGTATTTTTATTTTTTAAGTCGCTTTGGGATCTTTGACCTTTTAAAATCACTACAAAGCGCTGCAGTAGCACCAGCGTGCTCATTCTCTTCTTTCAAGGTTACTCTTGGGCCGGTGTCACCACCCTTATCTCCAGGAATCTCCTTTCTTCGTAGTCGTTGAATTAACTGTAAAAAAAAAGAGCATCTCTGTAGGATGATGATTTTCCCATTTCTTTTTATATTTCTAACATTTTGTACTCATGTTGGGATAGCCACACAGTTTTGTAACCATGCTATTGCCTCAGGAAATAACTTTGTCGCTTTAATTTAAAGTTTCTTTGCCACTAAAAACATAAATCCTATTCTCACTCAGGGTCGGTGAAAGGTGCACACCATTAAGCCTCAGCTACTAGCTCGGAGGTTGGTCCCATGACGCCCACACGAGTGTCTAGGGAGTGAGGCCTGAGAATGTTTTCATAGGGTGCCAGCCTTGAACGTCTGTGGAACACAGTTCTGCTCTGCCCACGGGGGGTGGGGGTGGGGGTGGGGATTGGGGTTGGGGGGGGCTGCCGTGACCCTCAATGGGCTTAAGACAACGTGCAACATTGAGTCACTTCATTTCAATGAGAGCCTCTACCTGTCCTTAGGTGCAGTCAGTCCATTTACATTTATTAAGGATGCATTTGAATGTATTCCAGCCCCATAATTTTGTCGGCCAAGCATTCTTGCATCTCCCCTCGGCATCGCAGCCCCGACTCCAGCGGACTCACCCCGTGACTGGGGCCTTCCCCTTACTGCTTTGCATGTTGGACACCCCGTTTCCTAACACACGGTGGTTTCCCTCGACGTTTCTTTCCCACTAACATGCCAATGTCAATTCCTTCCCCCAAATAAGACTTTGAGCTTAATGCCACTCCTTAACTTCTCTGCTCTTTTGTCATCGACCACCCATCCCCACTGAATTCCCAGCTTGAAACTATCTAAGATTTCCCTTCATGCAGTCATTCATTCATTCATTCATTCATTCATTCATTCATTCAGTGGTATTCCTGGTGGTATATGTTGAGTTCCCCGCAGAGATAAACCGAGGCCAGGCCATAGAGAAAGAAAAGGGGAAATTTATTCTGTGCTTCCCGGGAGGGATTTACGGACTCCAGCAGGGTCCTGACTGGGGGAGGGGGGACCAGGAAGTCACACTTATCTGTGGTGGAGAGTGAGTTTTAAGCTGATCAGGAGGGAGGAGGCAAAGCAACAAAGGGAGTGGGTAGAAACAGAGAGCCATCAGCCACCTCCATCCGTACAAATTCCAAGGTAGGGTGGTGCTTTGATCCTTCCTTTTGGGGCCGAGGCAGATGGCTCATTCGTTGATCTGCAGCCCCTGGAATTACTGGTCTGAGAGGGGCAGGCAGGCTTTTCCTAAGGTCCTCCAACCAGTACTTGACCCAACATTACAGTGTAGGCACTGGGCTGCAAACTGCAAAGTCAACAGTTCAAAATCACCAGCCTGCTCCAACGGACAAAGGTGAGACTCCACCCCCATAAAGATTCCAGTCGCAAATGCCCATAGGAGTTCCACTCTGTCCTGTAGGGCCACCATGGGTTGCAATCCACTCAGTGGCAATGAGTTTGGTTTGGGGGCATCTGCTGAACATAGTCAAGGCTCGGGATGTATTTACAGTCGTGAATCTTGAAATTATTTGTAAGTAGTGATTTATACCTTACAAAACCTCTACTTTTGTAGAGAAAACAACAAAAAACATCATGAAAGTAGGATGTATTATGTTAGTTAGTACCTGACTAGGGATGGCTTAGTAAGGACCAAAGGAAGCGAGAGTCAGTTCAAGAGGATGTGAAGCGGGCTGAGGAAGCAACAAGGTTTGGGATAAGTGCCTGACCGGCAGTTTTCTAAGGGGCCAGTGTGGCTGATGGGCAGTGACTGAGAGAAACACAGGTGTGAGGAGAGATCATGCAAATCCTTCCGCTATTCTTTCTTGGAGTTGTTTTGAGCTCTCAACTCTCACTTGCCTGTGGTGCAGGGGTTACCAGGGGGCTGCTAGCTGCAAGGTCGGCAGTTCGAAACCAGCAATCGCTGAGGGAGCAAGAAGGGGCTTTCTATTCTCATGAAGATTTACAGTCTTAGAAACTTATAGGAGTTCTACCTTGTACTGTAGGGTCCTATGAGTTGCTATCAGTTTGATGGCAGTGTTTGGTTGGTTTATTGAGGCTTTTAGTTTTAATTGTCAAAATCTGTAGTTGATCTCCCCCCATAGGATCTCATTTCTGATTATTTTAATTAGACATGCTGTGAGGATTGTTCGCTGTATCAACTGACTCTGTATTTTCAGTTGTGGATGAGTGTGATTTTTGTGCCGAGTCCCTATTAGCCTGCTGACGCTCCATTGCCCATAAATTGCCTCAAGTGATTATGGGTCCCAGACACACAGTGGAGAGGGATGCTTGTCTTCACAAGGGTCCGGCTTCTACCGCCCTACAAATTCTGGCTTGGGTTCCCAAACTAGTTTAGCCTTTCTCAAATGGGGCTGGTATACAGAGGATAGGGTGAGGATGTGCAAGGAAGCAGATAACTGGTTCCCCAAATTAGCCATCTAAATTCTCCAGGCCCCCTTCGAAATCCACTCTAGAGCTCCCTTAAAGCCAGCCTGCCTTTCTGGCAGGCTTCTCCGTGCATTTTGAGCTGGAGGGTCCCTATATTTTTGCTCCTCTATACAATTCTGCCTTTTCACCCCCTCTTTTTCAGGAGTCCCTCAACATGTTAGTATACCCCCTACTGTTGTGTCCTTTCAAACACCCTTTTTCCATCATGCCATGGGCTTTCAACAGGTGTCCCCTCGAGGTCACTGGCCACAGGACTGTCTTTTAAAACAATACAATTGATACCCAGCCACAAACAATAAATACGTCATACCTTTTATTGTTAAGATTGAAACAGACAAGAATGTTTGTTTTTCCAAGTTTAAATAAACTAATAAAATGCAAAGAAGTTATTTACAACAACCAAACACACCCTCAAAAAAACAAAATATAACTAAAGCAAGTAAGTTTTTATTCCAACAAAGGAACGCTGGCATATACAAAGTGATCATTTTATAAACATTGACCTAAATATTTTTATACTTATGGACATTTTTTTTATCTTAAAAGGAAAAAAACTAAGGTTGATATTCTTTGGCATCATCTTGTGAAGTAATTTCTTCTTGGATTCTTATCCACTGGAGTGCTTCCACATGTCTAAGCTGGTGTACAGGAATACATCCTGGTGACTTCTCACTGCACGACCCTGCACCATTGGGGGTGTGAACGCGGGGCAGGAGTATGGGCTGTGCATCTCCTCTTCCCATGTGTATGATCTCAGGAGGGGTGACGTCTCTGCACCTCAGTCTTCTCATCCTTCAAATGGGGAGAGTGAACCCAAACACACAAGCCATCTGAAAGGATGAGGTAAGCTCACCAAGGTGAAGGCGCCAGGCCCAACGCCTAGCCCACAGTGGGCACGCGAACGCGGGGTCTGAAAACCAGGCTGACAGCCGCGACGGTGCGGGGAATCGGGAGCAATGTCCCTGCTCTGGCTGCTCTTCGGTTCCCACCTCCTGTCTGGTCAGGTGGAGAACCTCCCTGAAGAAACTAATCGTTAACAGGAGACAGCGGCTACTTCAGGAACCGAAACCGAGCGCAATACATTATCATCGAGAGCCCGGTTCTTATCAACTCTTTTATACTTCACTGTGGTCACTTATTGTTTCTTGATTTCAAGTAAGTAGGTTGTTCCTTTTTTTCTTACTAAGGCAAATTCTACTTTCTAAGAAGGTCAGCCTCTGTGCATCTCACTTCCTTTCTGAAACTTGTTGTTTTCCTCCCTTTGGTTCGAAGAGAAGCTTCTTTTCATTTCTGCCCCTCCTAAGAGGCGGGGCATTTACCCTGTGTTATTGTAATAGACTCATGCTCGCTCTAAGGCGAAACCCTTGGCTTGGCATCATTAAGTGTGATGATGCCGTCGGATTCGTTTCTAACCGAGCAACCTTGTGAGCAATTACACAATCTGTACTAAGCGATCCAAGTCTTCGGTTTTCGTGTCTTCAGCCTTCGGGGTTAAAATGGGCTCGTTGAATATTGCTTTGTGGTCGGTTACAGGAACACCTACTTCCCTGTCTGCCAGGCTGAGACGTGTACACAACGATCCCAAGGTGACCTCCTCAGGACGAAGAGAAAACTCAGGCTGGTCTGTGGAAGCATCAGAGTGACCTAACAAGAGACAAGTGTTTGTTCGTCGAACAGGGTTTCCAGACAACCCTGGGCAGTGCAGAAAGTACGCGCAGGAAATGCCCTGGCTGAGAACGCAGGAGGGCTGGCTGGGGCCGGCATCCCTGCTTCCCCCACACCCTTGCTCCAGCTGCCTTGTTCGCCCATCGCGAGCCGTGGCCCCTGATCAGTCTTGGGACGGGCGATAGGTGAGAGCGGTCTCTGGGACCCACTGGGGTCCAGCAACCCGTGGGATCGCCTTGAGCCTCCACGACGGCCCCGAGGCCTTCGCTCCTCCGGCAGACGGGTGGGCGCCTGTCTCCCTCCTTCAGACGTGCCGCGCCGTGAGGAAGAAGAGTGGCCGGTCTTCCTTGGTGTTGGCCGTCTGGAACTCGTCCCGCAGCCGGAACTGCCACGCGTCCTCCAGCTCCAGGCGGACCACCGTCTGGCGGAGCGAGTTCCGGTCCTGGCAGATGACACACAGGGTCGCGCCTGGGAGAGAGCGAACACAGGAGCCTGCGTTAGAAATGCCGGACACCGTCGAGGGGCACAGGGAGGGAAGAGGGAGAAGTCTACGCCAGCCTCCTGAGTCCTGCGATGTCCAGCGACTGTTCGGTGGCAGGGTGGATGTGGGTCAGGTGGGTCGGGCAGCAGCTTTGCTCACACCTCGAGCCCCGGTGCAACACCGCTTCCCCTTATCCCACCTCACAGCTGACTCCCACCTTCCTCACATCCCCCTGCCCCTACACACCCACACCCCGTCCTCTGAACTACTCGCACACAGACACCGATCACACCTGAATTCCTTCCTGCCTCCCTACTGTCCTATCCCTCCCATCGACGAGGTATTTCCTGAGGGCAGAGGCTATTGTAGAAGCCTCTTCATATCCCCCGTGGCCGGATCCGCTGTGAGTGATCTGAGAGAGAAGGTTGGTGTAAACAGCCAAAGATTGGAGATCCACGAGGAATCCAAGCAGGGTTGGCAATCTTTGTTAAAAAACAAAAAACGCAAATAGAATGAGTGTTTGCCACTCGCAACCACTCTAGTGCACAGGCCGAAGAAGGAAACAGCAGGAGAAATAGAAGGAGTTTGGGGGGGGCCTCAAAGCGATGGGGAGAACTCACCTACCAGAGTGGAAAGGCGTCCAAAGGAGGCAGGGCCCTGACTGTAAGCATGTGGACTAACACTGCAAATACCTGCTGGTGACGTAGAAAACAAAGGGATGGGCCTAGTCTCTATCCCAACAGGATGGGGTCGGGAGCAGTAGAGCCAGGTGGGCCACCGGGCCCGATTTATTTGTTTCCACGATGATCAGGGCCGACATGTTTCTTCTCCTGCCCCAACTCATTCGTTGTCAAATCAGAACTAAAAGCCAAGATCACCTCCCTCAGAGGCACCGGGAGACGACCAGCATGGAAGCCAAGGGCAGGATGAAGTTACCTTTCAGAAAATGAAACTTCTTCAAAAAGCTGGCTCCCACGAAAGAGTCGCAGAGGTATAAGAGGAGTCCACTGAACATCAAGTCTGAGCTGCTGATGTTTAAAGAGTGGGGCCTGGAGCTCACGTAGCAGACAGAAATCTGAAACAGAAAGGACCCAAGAGAAAACACTGCTTTCTATGGGCTGCTCCACAGGGTTACACTCCGAGTCCGAATCGAATGAACTGCATGGTCAAACTCAGCAGAAGCAGAAACGAGTATCCCAGTGTAATTTCCATATCTGCACCCTTCAAAATTAATGCAAAGATATTTCTCTATTATTATTTAAAAATAAGAATTCAAAGAGATTTCTCTAAAGAGATTTTTTTAGATTATTGAAAAATAATAATAATTCAAAGAGATTTATCCAGACGTAGCTACACACTCATTAAAAGGAGAGGAACAGAATTGTTTTGGCATGTGAATTGAGTTTGCCTTTAAATTTATTATCCCTATGGAGGGGTGGAGTCTAGCCTGTCAATCAGGACATAGCCAATGAACCCTCTGTGTGGCCATGGCTTTCTCCTGAGGATTCTGGGAACTCCTATATTTCCTCTCTGGGGGTGGAAGACCCATTCTCTCTCTCTGCTCATTCCCTGTGAGACAGCTCTGTGGAGAAGACCCCTGGAGACAGGCTGATGAAGCCAGACCTCTGGAGCTAGAGAAGCCATATGGAGACCCCTGCCAGCACTGAGATCCTTACAATGCCACCAGATCCACAAGACTTCCCACCCACTGGCCTGTGATCTTCCTGAATTCGGAGTCATTGCATGTGTTTCATGAGTCTGAAGAGGACTTTATAGCTTGGTATCAGATATATGGGTTAATATAAGATTTATGGACTTGATCTGGACTGGGCTGGGATGTTTTCTCAATATTCAACTGTTTTTGTATATAAAGCTCTTATACGCAAAAAAAAAAAAATTATTATCCTTTGGTAAACCCTTTTAATTCTCAGTTTTCATTTCATCACCTGCAAAATGGGGGTAAGGACCTGCTTATAACAGTAGGGCTGTTATAAACTCAGCGTCCCGGAAACCGGCTCATCTGTTTCAAGCATTTCTCTGAGCTTTGGATTTGTCTGTGCACCTCGGCAGTTACCTGAGATCCCAGGTTAAGGTAACAGTCCACTGACAGCACGGGGTGGCTGTAATTCTTCAGGGAGAGGGGGAAGAAGCGGTGGCTATGGTACTGGAAGAACTTCTCAAGCAGGAGGTGCGCTGGAGCTGCCAAGAACGGGTGCTTGCTGTCCGGAGCACAGATGTACTGGGCTGGCACAATAGCCACGGGGTTATCTGATACCTGCGTGGGAGGGCATGAGTGTCAGGCTACTCCCCACCCCATCCCCTCAGTGAGGGGGGAGTGAGAGGGGAGCACTAAAAAGAGAGAAGTCCTTCCCAGAGGCCACTAGGCTGTGTGGGATCCCAGAGGATTGGGGGTGGTCCAGTTCTGGCAGTTAGAAACAAACCCTGCACAGGAAAAGGGTGAACCCATACTTAGAATAAAATCTTCTATTCAGAAAAGCGAGACTTGAGCGAAGGATCATAGATAAAAATTCACCAAGGTGCACAGTTAAGACTTGGAGACCGTTACCATGACGTGTATAGGCTAGAAAAAAACAAGAGAACCAATGGTCTTTCCCCAACATGCAATGATTCCAACCTGGGAGACAGACCTAGAGGCCTGCCTCTTCTTTCTGACTGCCCCCCACTCAGTTATCTGGTCCCCTATGTTCTACTTCCTGCAATCTCAGCCATCCTCTCTCTCAACTGCATCCGCGCCCGCCATCCAGGTCATTCAGAGGGACTGTCTACATCCGAACGGACGGACGGAACCCTCTGCTGAACACCCTTTGGGGGGGCTTCTCATTACTGGAGAAAAAGTCTAGAAGGTCCACAGAATGGGTAAGGTCCTGTCTGCCTGTCCTGCTCACTCCTGTCACTCCCCCTCGCTCTTTACACATGTCCCAAGGCTCCTTCTGGTCTTGCTACGATACTTGCCCGACCACCCTCAGCATCTTCCCCAGGCTCTTGCCTCTGCCTGGGACTTGACTGGCTTTTCCTTATCCCACAAGTGACTGCTTTAATGCCTTTTCTTCATGGAAATGTCCACAGCCCACACCTTCCACCCACCCTGACCCTGGGCCATGCTAGGTCTTCTGGTTTCATGCACTTGACCTTTTGGCGTGCGTCTCCTATGGTCAATGAATCAATGTCTACGATCAGCCTGGGTGCCAGGTTCATACACTCCTTTTGTGATCATTCATTCCTAACCCTGCAGTGGGTGCTGAACAAAAACCCCATGGAGTCCATAAATGAAAACTTTTTAGTTATTTAGATAAAAGGGTCTAAAACCATTGCCTTCCGGATACATTAAACAATATGTTAAATATTGGAAAATAAACTCAACGGGAAGACGGGATATGTGCAAAATCAGAAAGAAGCCAAATTAGCTAAGAGTCAGAAACCTATGAGGAAACATGTGCAAATGTACTTCCACAACACCCTCTGGAGGGACATCAAAGAAAACGGACCTTAGTTTTAAAGGCACAATGGGCTGTGGGGCAGAAAGACAAGAAAGTAAGATCTCAATTCTCCCCCAAATGAACCTACAAAGCAATCATAATTGCAATCCATGTTTCATGTATTTTTCTTTGGGGGGGTAACTTAATGAAATGAAGGTGTTCTGGAAGTACAGACCCCCCTGGTCTTGCTCCTTGAGGGAAATGTGTTGGATGGCCCCTCTCAGAGACGCCAGTGTGGATCAGCGGGTGGAGCTGCAGCTCGGAGAGGTGCCCACGGAAGGCGGGAGAGACCAGGAAGGGCCCAGACAGGTTGGAAGAGTCAACTGCCATCAGGATGGCTGAAGTCATGAAGGCAAGATTCAAGACAGACGGAAGCTAAAAAGAGAAAATGGTGCGAGCCCATTAGATCAAAGGGTCCTTTGAGCAGAAATCTCCACGCCTGGATGGGTTCCCAGAAGATAAAGACCTCCGAGGGCTTATGGAGATCGGACATCTCAACTTCCGCAGGCCAACACAGCTGGAAGGCACGTAATGGGACTCTCTGTTCCACCGCCCAGGGACTGCCTCGTGAGCAGATCACTCAGCTGTCAAGCGAGCCTGGCTAAGCCAACCAAGCCGCCATTTACCGAGCTCTCGTGGCACAGTGGTTAAAGCGCTCTGGTTGCTAGCAGTCTGCTTCCTGAAAGGTTTGCGGCCTTGGTGGCCCTAAGACAGTGGTTCTCAACCTGGGTCACGGCCCCTTTGGGGGTCAAAGACCCTTTCACAGGGGTAGCCCGATTCATAATAGTAGCAAAATTCCAGTGATGGAGTAGCAATGAAAATAATGTTAGGGGTGTGGGCTGGGGGGGGGGGGGGAGAAGAGCGTCACCACAACAGGAGGAATTGTATTTTTAAAGGGCCTTGGCATTAGGAAGGTTGAGAACCACTGCCCTAAGGGGAAATTCCACCCTGCCCCATAGATAGGGTCTCTGTGAGTCAGAAAGGACTTTGTTTTCATGGGGCCCAGGGAAGGCAGATACATCACACCTGCCCTCTGCCTCGCTGAGAAGCCAGATTAGTGTGCAAGGAATTGCCATTGAAAGTCCCTGCTGCGTGGAATGAGGCAGATATGCATTGTTCTTAGGTTACAGCTACTATTAAGTGCAAGGTCAAGATCCATTTACATATTTATGGTTTACGCATGTCCCTGATTCACTTTAGAGACATAGTTATCATTTTATTGGGTAAATATTACAAATTGTCCCCATGAAGCATATGGTCATTGCAATTCAGTCAATGGTATAGAAAGTAAAGGAGTGTGGCGAAGAGGAACATATACACATATAGGACATCATTCCAGGATGAAAAATACATAGATTTTTTTTAAGTTGCACAAATTGAAAAACTGGAGTGGACACTAAGCCAACAATGAGGCTGGAGGTCGGGCAAACTCCTCAATCACACTCATTCACCCAGAAGGCAGCACTATGCCTGCTGGCCTGAGATATGTCCCAGAGAAGCAAAGGATGTAGTAAAACGGCAGATCGATTTTTGCAGTCTTAAACTTCCACTTACTGGGCACCCTCAAAGCAAGAGATCTGAACCAAAGTCCAATGACTTCCACATTCATTACCTTGGGAGAGTAGTCATCTGCTTCTTCCCACACTAGGGCATTTCAGCCTTAAGTCCAAGGGAGTATTTCAGCCGTCCAAGTCCTTTAATGTGTTACTCATTCACTGCCATTGAGTTGAGTGTGATTCACAGGGACCCAGCCCATAGATCTGGGTAGACTACCCCCTGTAGGTTTCCAAGACTGTAACTCTTTGTGGGAGTAGAATCATTCCACAGATCACCTGGTGCTTTCCAACTACTGGCCTTGTGGCTAGCAGCCCAACCCAGAACCACTACAACACAGAGCTTTAAATCTGCTTCAGGTGTGGTTAAGGGGAAGCCCAGTGTGCTCAGTGGGATTTCCAAGTTGAACCTTCCTAGGGTGGCGTATGAAAGATGTTGTGCACCTCCACAGAACAGTCTAAAGTCCCGGTTTTCTATAGTGTGCGAGCAGTTGCAGGCCGGGCTTAGAAACAGAGACCGCAAGGGAAATCTAGGGGTACTTCCACTTCCCAACATGCGTGTCATTAGAAACCTGTAACCCCACTGACCCATCGGCCCAGCTCCACCTCTGACTGTAAGGAGAATGTGGCCGTCCAGGGAACCAGCCCGGCTGGCTGGCGGCCAGCACTCACCTTGGACGTGATGTGGAAGGACCTGTGTCCGCCGACGGCGATCTGTTTCTTCATCATGCTGAAGCGGTTGAATCTGCAGAGCAGGAGGCCTGCACTGTGTACCCGCAAGTTGAAGTCCACATCGTCACACATGAACCTACTCGGAAACAGAGAAGGGATGGAGGGATGAGCCGGACTGGACATTCCCTCATAAGATACCTACTGTGTGCACCCTCCTGTCCTAGGGGGTGGTGAAGATGGAGTGTGCCCAACCTTTAAAGGTGTGACTCTAAGGAGGGCTTTGAAAGAAGACGAGTAAGAAGGGAGAAATGTTAACAACCCTTGACCAAGTAGAACAATCAAGGCCCAAAGCTTAAACGGAATACAGGCTACCAGCGCTAGGTGCTGAAGGCCGGGCATGAAACTTTATAACCGCTTGTGAGAAGTTTGCTCGTTAAAAGAAAACATCCCCCCCTAAGGAACAGAAATGGGAGTAGCGATACCAGGATAGGGGGACAGGGGGACGAGGGAGATAGGAGGGGAGGAAGGAGGAATTGATCACAAGATCAACACTTAACCACAGGCCCTTCTAGGGGGAGAAGCAACAGAAACTGTTGAGGAAGGGAGACAGCGATATGAAAATAATAATAATTTATAATTTATCCAGGGATCACAAGGGTGAGATGCAGGGGGCAGGGGGAAAGAGGCGCTGCTACCAAGAGCTAAAATATGATGTAAATGTTTAGAAAATAATGATGGCAACATATGTACAAATATGCTTGATACGACTAATGTATGGATTGTTATAAAAGCTATGAGTCCCCAATAAAATGATATTTTAAAAAAACCAAATAAACACAAAGAACAACTTGAAGGGTAAATACAAAATATGATGCAAATTAAAAAAAAAGAAAACACACACCTAGTGAATGGATTATCAGAATATTGTTAAAATACTGGTGTTACCTGAGGCGATTTACAGATTCAATAATCCCTCTGTAAAAATTCCAACAGTCTCAAAACTGATTGTAGGGGTGATTGCACAACCCTTTAAATGGACTCGCTAGGTCAGAGTATTACACTGATACTCAAGACAAATATTATTTGTCTCTAAAGAAATACATAAAAACCATTTTTGGTTTTTTAAAAAATTTCTCAGTTTTTTGGGGAAAAGAAATGGAGTAGCCCGTCTTCAAATAGAGATAAGATTTCAAAGGGCCTGGACTAGCCAAAGTGGCTTTGAAAAAGAGCAGCCAAAGGACACTTGCTGGTTTTAAAACATACTATAGAGCTACAGGAGCCAAAACAGCATGGTGCTGGCACAGTATACAGGCCAATGGAACAGAACTTAATGTTACTGAGCTGTGTGCGTGAAACAGTTAAAATTGGACATTGGTCATTATTTTTGCCACAAGAAAAATTTAAAATCAACAGCCATAAAATTCTTTAAAGGGAAAGTTATTGATCGTATTTTATCGCTGAGAAAATTAGGCCCAGAGACGTTGAACAGCCTGCCTAAATGACAACGCCGGAAAGGGGCAGAATCCGGACTCAGCAGGTCAGTCTGCACTCTCAAAGGTGACCGCTGGGGCTGTGTGGCCTCTGCTTGGCATACACAAACCCAAATCCGCTGGCAAGGGGTCCATTCCAACTCAGGGCCACCCCACGGGCACCCAGAGTAGAGCTGTCTGGGGCTTTGTTGTGACCAGGGGCCCTAGCCCCTAGGGTTGACTATCCATCATATATAGAATGCCTATAATCCAGCATCAAAATGACAACCAATGGGGAATTCACACTGAACTTTTGGACAGTTTTGCTTAGCTGTTTGCACCACTAGGGGTACAGAGATCCTCAGTACACACTCTGGGGTTGAATTATCCGTGAGATATGAGCCCCTCTGTGGCTAGATACATAAAGACCAACGTCAATCCCGGTCTACATGTTATAGACAGATCCATCAACATAGTGATCCACATGCTCTATAGCTGTCCTCAGTGCCCAAAATCCCTCTAAAAAAGCGGCGTCCAGAGAGGGAGCCACAAAAAAACAGCAAGCTGAACAGACAGCACAACACATCCAATAAATAAAGTTAATGTATGAATGGGCGGGTGGAGGTTAACAACATGGTGATGCAACGCGCCCCTCCACAAAACCAGATACCACTGACAGGCAAGAGCAAACCGTATAGAAGCAGGGGCCGGGCCAACGGTGAAAAAGCCACCCGCCAGGCCGAAGGAAGGCCTGCTCCTCCTGGGGGCCCTCCCGTGAGCCAGGCCACCCCTCCCCGACCCACGAGGGCCGCGCTCACCGGTTCCGGTTGTACTGCACGTGCTGGGTCAGGTCCACGTTGAGGATGACGAAGTCGTGCAGGTGGCAGCGGGAGAAGGGCTCGCGCACCTCGCTGCTCCGCGTCTTGCTCGACCACTTCCGCATCCCGATGAGGGCGTAGTGCGTGATGTTGGGGGACCCCTCGATGTGCTGCATGATGCGCTTCAAGGACACGTTCCTCTCCGACCAGGAGAAGTCCCTGCCAAAGGAGCGCGAGACTGACGCCCGCACGACCGGCGGTTCCTGCTGGGGTCAGTGCGGCTCTGCGCGCCACAGGCCTCCTACCAGGGCACTACCAGGGCACCCGCCACGGCCACCGGCCATGCGAGGCCGGGGCAAGCATTTGATGCTCGCCCCTGGTTAGCTCTCCTCACAATCCCCTGCATGAGCATCAATAACCGCACCTGGAAAGGAGGAAAACACTTGGCCCGGTGTTGCTCCGTAGAGCGCATGTGCAGGGGTCTGCGTGACTCCAGGGCCTGTGTCCTCTTCCTCGTGGTACGCCACTCCCACGTCCAGTTTGCCAGGCACAAAGGTACAATGGGGCAAGCGGAGTTTGCCTTCTGTGGCCGTTACCTAATTTTATGCCGCCTTAAAGATTTGTGAAGTTATCGGGGTGGCATCTGACCTGTCAATCAGGTCACACAGCCTGATGGTGCCTGATGGGTGTGTGGCCTTCTCCTTAGGAGGACCCAGGGACCCTCCTTTCTCCATCTCTGACTGGACCTTCCTGCTGGCTGACCCCGAGAGCTGCCACGTCTCTGACACAGGAGCCACACCACTTTGTACCCACCGGCCTGCGGTCTTCCTGCATTCTGCATCTACGTGTGAGTGTGTGAGTCTGAAGAAGGACCTATGGACTAGTATCGGACGTGTGGATGTGCGTTAGACGGAAGTGGGATGTGTTCTTGTTCTATCATTACTTCTTGATATAAAGCTCTCCCATATACACAGATGAGTGTCACTGGATTTGGCTTCCCTGGTCAACCCGGCCTGACACAGCTTTCTATCATGGCATCCAAGTGAGCGAGCAGGGAAGGAGGGCACACCCTATAAAAGCCATCCTGTCTCAACAGGCGGTGTTTGGGGCCGGTGAAAATGGTGAGATGGCCCGTGGTGAAGCCGACACTTGATGGACAAGGAGAAACAGACTGAATGGAGCCGTGACCCAGCTGGGAGTCGGGCCAGGCGGGCCTAAACAAACTGTCCACCTTGTCTGAACCCCAGCTTTCTTTTCCAGAACTGAGGGGCTTAAAATAAACCCTCTGGGGCAACAGCCAGCTCTGACATTCCAGGAAATCAAATACGATGTAAGACAGAAGGCAGAGTCCAGATATCATCTCTCTACTGCCAAGACAGACCTCAGACAACTTCTTGCTCTTAGAAGGGTGACAATACAGAAAAGCCAACGCAAAGCCAGTAAAGCCAGATGGCATGCAAGTGGGCACTCCCAGTTACACCTCTACCAGGAGCCCACTGAACACCGAATCAAATGCAAGCACACACCAAGATCTCAGCGCTCCGAACGGCAGCTCCTGTGTTGAGGGCGGTGGACTCTTACTGAGGCCCGAGGTCGATGGGCAGTCAGACCAAGAGTCACTGTACTGGAGCAGGACGTGGAGAAACAAGTCCTGTAGGGCTGCTAACCATGTTAGTAGTTCAAAGCCACAAGCAGCTCTGAGGGAGAAAGATGAGGTTGTTAAAGATTTACAACCTCGGAAACCCAAAGGGGGTAAATTCTACTCTGTCCAATAGCATTGCTACGGGTCAAACTGGGCTCTTTAGTGGCATGGGTCATGGGGACATTTTCAGATGGAATGAGGAAACAACTAGCCCCTGCCCACAGTGAGACACCATGGGAGAGTTTGAGAGGGGGTCAGGAGGAGAAAACCCACTACCTTCACCACAGGACTAGCAAGTGCCCCCCCCACCACCACCCCAAACTCCCCGCACATGGATGAAGCATACAAAACTCTTAACGCAGCTTTACAAAACCTCTTCAAATACACGTATCCTCTAATGGTTCTCAGGAGAACACGCGAAGTCCACTGCTGCTGGCCCAGTCTGACACCAGGGACTGTGGCGTGGAGCAGAACTGCCCGCTAAGGCTCCCAGGCCATGGATCTCTGTGCAGGCAGGCTGCCCATCTGTCTCTTACAGAGCTACTGGTAGGCGCAGGCTCCAGCCTTCCAGGTGTCAGCTGGGTGCTTGGCCACTGCACCAACAGGATTGCCCAATCACAAATTAATTTTTTTCCACAAAAAATACTATACAAACATTTTTTAAATGCCCAAGTTTAAAAAAAAAAGCATAACACACAAAATCACAGAGACACAGGAAAACTGAAATCACTTGTAGAAAGAACAATATCAAGACGCCAAAGAGAATGAAGCAAATGACCCTCTGCACCCCCCAAAAAACCAAGAGAATCGATCAGCCGTTGAGCTCGACAGAAGAAAGAGTAAATGAGCTAGAAAACAAAATACCTGAACGTACAAGCCTGAAGAGAGAGGAACAAAGAAAACGAACAAACCCTAAGTGAAAACGTGGAATCCAACCGAGAAATCCAATGCTAGAATTCCCCCAAACAGCCCAGAGCACCGCAGTAACAATAGAGACGTAGAAATAATTATCTAAGAGATAAGCAGAGAAGATTTCCCAGACCCGAACAAAGATCCAAGCCTGCAAATTCAGGAAGCTGCATGAACTCCCCTTAGAATAAACACAAAGATGTCAAGTGTGCGCCCTATCTTAATAAATTCTTGCAAACCAAAGACAAATGCAGAATTCTGAAAGCAACAAGTGAAAAATGCAATAAAAATACGAAGAGTTTTTTAAAAAAGAATCAATGTGGATTTCTCTCCAGGAACAGTAGAGTCCCAAAGAAAATGGTACAATAAATATGTAATAATGAATAAAAACAATCAAGAATTCTTTACTCTGTTAAGCTGCCATTCAAAAACATGGGGAGATCATGGTGTACCCAAACAGAAGCTCTGAAAACCTGCCCCAACCAGCCAAGTTTTGCAAGTATTACTCAAGTATTTCAAATAAAAAATAAATCCTCCTCTCTGTACACCGGAAATAAATTCTAAAATAACAAGAGAACAAGATTGCCAGAAAGGGCAGCATGAGTATCATGGGTTGAATGTTGTTATCCCTCAGAAAAAGTGCCAACTGGCTAGGCTAGGATTCTCTGTATTATACAATTATCTGCCATTTTGTGATCCGATGTAATTATCCTATGTGTTTTAAAGCCTAACCTCTCTGAAATGAATGAGTCAATATCTTTTGCGATTAAAAAAGAAATTAAAGAAATGCAGCAATCAGAAGAGCCAGACTGCCTTTCAGAAGGACCAGGGGCAGAGCAGTTCCTTAAGCTCTGGGTCCCTGAGGGCCGGGGCTGGGTGGTGGAAGTCACCCATCCCCGCCCGTCTTACCTGCTTCTTTCCCCGCCATAGTCAACATCCACCATGTTCCACATCACACAGGAGTCGTCCGAAATCACGATGAAGGGCCAGATGTCCTGAGGCTTGATGCCCAGCTCCCCCTGCCGGCTGCGCTCCAGCTCCAGGTTATGAGAGGAAAGCTCCTTGATTAGGAAGTGGGCGGCACCTGCAAGGGTCAACACGCCCCACCTCCCAGGGTCAGCTCTGTCCTACCACGGATGGCTGGCCGTGGACTTGGGGGAGAAAATTACGGGGAGCAACAGACTCCTGCCCAGTTGGTACACCCATTTTTTGTTTAGATCCTCTCCCCACCCCACCCCCTTACAACTGAGATGATGAATTACACCAATCATCAAAAATCGGAGAAGACCATTCGTTAAGAAGCAAACAAACAACTGAGCTAACAGGCATTTTACTGAGCAGAGCAAGGTATTTGGGGGAACACCTACCAACGCCGGCAGTGTTGAAGATGCTGGGGAGCACCAGCATGATGTGGTTGGGCCAGTATTTCTTATAAATGGCCATCTCGTACTCCTTGACAACCAGCACGTGCAAGTGACTGGCGCCGTCCATGGCGTGGTACAGATTAAAGAGCCCGTGTTCATGCCGGCCAGTTGTGGGTGTGAACGTTGGGCTTTTTATATATTCGTGACCCTGTGAAAGTACAGGAACAATGGGAGAGAGGGTTTGTCAAAATCCGCTCGTTATTCCCCTTCCCTTTGACGTGTGATTTCACAGCTCCTTCCACCAAAAGAGGGAGTCTATCCCACCCTCTGTGAATCTGGGTTAGCCTTGTGCCCTGCTTTTCACCAAGAAAACGCAGCCGAAAGGATGGACCAGCTGAGGGTGTGCACATTGCACTCTCTCCGAGCCCTCTTTAGTCTCCACAAGAGGATGAGAGATCACGTCGAGTGGGCGGAGATGAGCCGTCCCCATTGAGTGTCGAGGCCACTCTAGGCCAGCCAGCCCCCAGGGGATCCGCTGGCAACCACAGACGCGGGAGTAGGCACAGCCAAGGTCTGCAGAACCCTGGATCAGAACCTATCCAAGTCTGCTGACCCACAGAACCCTAAGCTGAGCAAATGTTTGTTTAGGAATGGTTAGGCACGCAGTGAAATCAAACTGGCATCTCTCTTCTTACCACATTCATGGTCCTCTCATAGCAGGGCCTACCATGGGGGCTCTGAGTACACGTGCTGTCCCAGGTTGACTTAAATCCTCCAGATACCCACTGTGAACATACGGCATCTCCCAAACATCGACCCACACAGGCAAGCCATTCCAGGCTTTCTGTAAACACTGTTTTGTTTAGTGCTTTCCTTGACAATAGGTTCCCCTGGCAGAGCTAGGTCTCTCTCACTCTGAATTCCTCCGAGCATCTCCTACAAAACTATGCACATAGCTGGGCCTCAGAACCAAGTCGGATCAGATGGCTGGGAGGGCCAGTGGATGGACAAATCCTCCCTTAAATGACAATCCATAAGCTTTCCCCTTAATGCCACCCCCGACCCTTGCAGGGTAGGAGACCCTTGTAAGAGAGGTCTCTTTGGTACTTGACAAATATGTACAAATATGCTTGATACAATTGAAGTATGGATTGTCATAACAGCTGTAAGAGACCCCAATAAAATAATCCTTTTTTAAAAAAAATTCGAATAAACAAAAACTAAATGGAAACAAAAGATTGAGGGATTTATCTTTTAGGATTTAAGCTGAAATAGCTATAGGTGGGATGTTAAGTCATCTGGGATATACTTCAAAACAGCAGAGGAAGAAGAAAAAGGAGAGGGAGAGACAGAGGGAGAGGGAAGCACAAGTGGCTATGGGTTGGTAATGGCTGACCCCAGGAGTGTGGAGGCTCATGACCACACTGTTTACTGTGGGTGCTTAACGCTGTCCACCGCAAAGGGCACATGAGACATGAGGAGCACAGGGAGGGCGTCATTACCCACGAGCAGCTTGGGAGAGTTCCCTTCCAGTGACTGAGCCGGTGCCTGACGTTGGTAACCCCACCCAGTGCGGACAACAAGCTTCAGCAAGGACTTTCATGGCTCAGGTGTACAGAGACGGAAACAGGGGTCTCCGAGATCCTGAGACCACACGGCAGGCACCACCAAACGCAACACGTAAACGATAGAGCCTTCTCCACGTTCATTCGCGTCTCAGTTTCCCCACTCCACTCGCCTCTGAGCAGGTGAGTCTTTGCTCACCAGGAAGTCCATCTACTGTCTCCAAGTCCCCAGCCCCACGACCACGTGAACCCTCTTTGACTGGACGCAGGGGAGCGCGCAGCCACTACCTTGTCTGTGACGAGGGGCAGGCGCATGCTCTCCAGCTGGCCTCCTGGTTGGCTGAAGACGAAGTGGTGCTCCTTAGATTTGGGGATGATGAAGTGGAGTTGGATTTCTTCTCCTAGCATGGAGTAAGAGAAGGCAAAGGCGTGCAGGGTGGACTCGTAGAGCTGAGGTCCGAGGGGGAAAGGACAGAGCTTACCATCAGAAGTCCAGCTGTTTCCCAGAAGAACCCAGGTCCATTATTGGCCAGGACCACACAGCTCAGGCCCACAAGAGAAACTCATAGGCCAACCATGTAACCACCTCACGCCGGGCTCCTGAGCAAGGATAGGCCAGGTGCACACAGACTGAGCTAAGCCTGCTCCTCTCCTTCATGCTCACAATACTTTACCCAGTTATGTCTCCTCGGGCACCAGCCCTTTCTAAACTCTGGGCTTGACAGCAAGGCCATTTGTGTTACATCTCTCACCATACTTCTAAGACATAAATATAAATGAAATAATTCTTCCTGTCTGGATCATGGACATTGCATAATAGCAATATTACTCATAATAACAATTGCATATACGGGTATATTTCTGTTACGCTATGTGGCAAACACCCTTCTCTCTGCTTTGTATTTTCGTTAATTTGGAATTCACAATAATCCTAGGAAGCAGGTACTATTCTCCTCCCTATTTTATGGGCTTGGAACCGGAAGTAAGGTCTAGTCTCATCTCTAACCACTTCCTCCAACCCTCCCAGGCCTGGGCCTGCACTCCACCCACCCTCTCTCCATAAAGCTCTAGCTGGGCGCCTGCCACTCCCTGGCACAACCTCCCAGCCCAGCTTTCCTACCAGTGCATGTACATCGCGCAGGCTTGGCTCAGGAAGCAGCATAAGGAGCCTTCGCCAACCTCCACGCCTCTTACCTGTCAGAACCTTTCCTTGGGTTAGCTCACTGCTAGTACAGGTGGCTTCCAAAAGTTCACTGAAAATGCAGTGATCTTTGGATTCCATTTGTCCATAAACCCTTTGAAGCCCCCTCGTGGGTGCTGGGCATCCCTGGGTGTCCACGTGGGCACACCAGCTTCATGTTCCCACTGCGGCTCTATAAGGACTGTGCCATCCTTTGTGGGCCGAGAAGAGAACTTGGTTTCAATTCACCACACCGCCGGGGTGCCTATTGTCCTAGCATCACCATTTCTCATGCCCTGGATACTCCGCGTCTCCCTCTTTGTGAGGTGCTGCCTTGACTCTTCACGCTTCTCCCCTCTCCTCTCACCCAAGAGAGCGTCCTCATCCATACAATGGGGATACTATGACTGCCTCACAGATGCGGGTGTGTGTGAAATGAGTAACAACAGAATGCGAGGCTCTCCTCACCTGTGCACCATCAGTGGGTTACAGGTGTGACTTAAACACAGCCCTCAGTGGACAGCCGGAGCCCTGGCTCAGTAGCCCCCAGTAACCTTATCACCCGTCTAGGAGAAAGGACGCTTTCTATCGCACAAAAATGTTGGGAGCACCGACATATACAAGCACCTGGCGTTGCCTGGCACATCGTAGGTGCTCAGAAAGTGCCCGTGTCTCTCCTGATCACCACAACAGCGAGGCCTCAGCCACATTGCTTTTCTTGCCTGCTTGACACTGCTCTAAGATTCTGCCGACGCGGACGCATCTCCTTCCCTAGACAGGGAGCCTTGAATGTGCAGCTGAAGCGGATTCATCTCTGTGGCCCAGGCACTGGGACGCTGGCACTCTGTGCACCGTCCACGGAGTGGAGTGAGTTTGGGAAATCGCTAGGACATCCAGAAGCTTCGGGACGTATGCAGTCAGTTCACTGAGAAGTATGTCACTCCAGAAGGGCATGCGGTCATCTCATAAAGGACTAAAGGGAACCACGGCTCAGAGCAGAAGAGGAAGGGCCACGAGAACTTTCCATCCCCCCACGCTGGAAGGGGAGCACGCACGTGGGAGCACGCGCGTGAGACGCGCCGAGAGCCGCTGGAGGTGCCCTGGACGCGGGGCTCCGTGCCGGTGGCCTACCTGGTAGCGCGGGTGGAAGCCCATGTACTGATGACACTGCTCACAGTGGTGGTACGTGTTATAGGCTGCGTACTTGGACAGTCTCATGCGCGCTGTCTGGCACCGCACGTAAGGGTCCTCGGACTTCCTGGCCATCCCTCTGTCTGCACAGAATGTTCCAGCCGTGTTAAGAGAGGCAATGTGCAAAGCCACTCTCTCAAGCTCTGTCTACTGAAACCGAAGCTAATGAAATGCTCAAACAAAAAAAGTCACTACGTGGGTTTTGTGTGGTCAAATAGGACTGACTAACCAAACCTGAGGCCCGGGGTCACCCAGTTGGTCAAAGAAGACACTGAGTCGCAGTATGGTAAGTTCATAAGGAGACTGCTCAGCCAGCAACACACAGCATCTCAGCTGGGGAGCTACGACCGGAGCCGGCATTAGAGGGCCTGGTACACAGCATGCCGACTTCATTTCTAAATGCAAGCGAACGGCTGCCATTTTCAAAATGACTTAGCGGCGTTAAAACTTTCAACACTGCCCCGTCTTAGAGCAGTGAAGTAAAAGTGGTCGGTTTGAAATGGAGACCAGCAAGTATTGATGTCACGTCGCATCGACCCAACGTTCCTATCAATGATTACCATCCCAGTGGCCACCAGTAACTGATGCCTGCTGATGGTGGCCCTGAAGACACTGCAGGATTAGAAACACCAGTGGTCCCTGAGGAAGCGGGAACATGAGAAGTCCGAGAGAGAGTGAGAGAGAGACAGAGAGGGAGAGAGCATGTGTCAATTTTTGAGGGCAATTCCAAATTCATAAGCAAACACGGCCTTCATCTTCTGCTAACCGGAGCCTTGGCGGTGGTTCTGACAAATGATTGGGAGAGCCTTCCTAGCTTCCACGAGGATCTCTTCCTTGTACTGTGAACTGTCCATCTCAGCTCTGTACTGGCCCTTGCTGGTTAATCCACCACCAGCAGATAAAAATCTATCCCTGGAAAAACTCAACTCATCCCTTTAAGAGGGCACTCCCATGCACTCTGGGAAGAGGCAAGGCAAGAAACGTAAAAGTCTGACCTTCGTTCTTTATGCTCCGATGATGCGAACAAATCAGACTGGCATCCTCGTACTTTGGGTCGTGAACGATGTAGTCAAAGGGCATCTTCTTGAACAGCTCCAGGTCAGGCCAGGGGTCACTGAGCTGGAGATAATGCCAGTCTGATTCTTCTTTGAGGTCTACAAGATAGATCGAAACACAGACACAGGACAAATAGGAAGCGAGAGGGATGTGTTTGAAAGGTGCACAGGACTGTGCTTGGGGTGGCACTGCTGGTGCGTCCACGGCTGACTCCGAACCCCCTTGCCCCCTGATGGCTGCTGGACCTTGCCCCGTGCTCCACAGGCAAGAAGGGGCATTCGGGGCTATCTCCATCAGGAGGAGTAGGCTCACACTCCAATTTTATGGGAATAGGCTTGCTCCTCTGTTCCCTCAGGCGAACTTCAACTCCGTGCAGAGGACTCTCTAGTCTGGCCTTAACATGTGCTCTGCACACTCCTCTAACCCTGACACCCAAGCACCTCTGGGTCTCACTGGAACCACATACATTTCCCTTCTTGCCTCTACAGATCTAAGGGGCACCGGCCACGCTACCAGCTCACATTCAGTCCACCTCTCAAAAGCCTCTTCTGAGTGGGCAAGCCCAGTCAAGTCTTCCTTTCCGAGCTGCAGCAATAACATGCAGGGGCCAAGCCACATTGTCACATTGGCCATGAGTCATCTTAGCAGTCTGATTAGTACGGTCTACGATGCTGAATCAATATTGGTTGGTAAATAAAAACTTTTAGAAATCCAGTTGGTCCAACTCAATAAATTAGGCAATATATCGATTGGTTGTGTGTCTGTGTATGTACACAGATTATATATTGAACCTACGATATAATACACAAAGAAAGGTCTGACCGTCGACTTCCAACACCCAGTCAACGAAAGGAGGAAGGGGAGCGGGAAATGGGCAGGAATGAGAACGGGTGACTGACGGCACCTCGCGGAGCCAGCGCTGGATGAGCTGAATCGCGTGTGCGGATTGTTCGCCATGGAACTAATGAGGTGTGCTGGAAACCCTCTCCCAGTGCACAATAAAGAGTTATCCCAAAGGTTGATCAATGACCACCCCGGGGATCCCAGATCGGCTCTTCAACTGATGGTGGAGATGGTGAGGGACTGGGCAGCGCTCGTTTTACTGAGCACGGGCTTGCGGGGAGTCCGGGTTGACTACAGCTGCTGTCACCAACAACAGACTGTATCCCCGAGTAGCATCCCTGTTTACAGAACGAGAGAGGACTGTTTACAGGCAGTCTTTGGGGAAAGAACGCCCAACTTTGGACAAACTCTTCCTTCCCCTTCGTGCGGATTCAAGCAGCTCTGTCAGGGTTGATGAAGTGAAACGGGTAGCGACTGGGATTTTTACAGTGGGGCCGACTCACCATGAAAACTGCGACAGGAAAAGTCACAGGGCAAGGCCCCAGGGGGGACATCCAGAAGAGACCCCGTGAGCCCTGTCAGGAGCCTGCTGCTTGAGACCCCGTGGTTGGGAGAACCATGAAAAGCCATGTAGGTTCAGAGTGGTGCAGCCATCTTAGAATCCCTGCCTTAGCGCTTTGTGAACTTGCCCTCAGTTTGAAATGATTGAGCCAACGGACTCTTCATCAGCATCACCTTCATGTGCTGCACAGGCAGTTTTAAATCCCTGTAAAGGCCTGGAGCTTTTTCTTGCAGTAAAGTAAGGCTCGATGGGAGCCAGGTGCACCTGCCCCAACTGGCCTACGGATTCCCAAAGACAGCTGGGAACGGATTGTTCATCACCCGGGAACTGCTTGTGCTGTGTGCTTCCTAGGGGCTCATTACTCCCTGTGGGTAACACCACTTTCTCTTCATAACACCCCGCCAAACAGGAATGAGCCCGTGTTACAAAAGACAGACGGTATCAACGAGGTGATCAGGCCGTATTTAACAGAACGGGCTCTGGAGGTAACAAACCGGGTTTAAAGGCTGCCTTAACCATTGTGATCAAGGAGCCGATAGCTCAAGGGACCTGCCAGCTTTCCGCTCAAAACCATTCCAAATGGGCAGAGGGTTAGAGCTTGGGTGGAGAGCCTACACTACTTTCCTTCGAAGGAAAGACCAGAGGCTGGAGGAACTTCCTTGGCTCCAAATTCTAGATTCTCCAAGGGAATACACAAGGGCGGGCAGGAGGGCTTAGAGAAGTGCTGTTGACTGAAGTGCTTGCTCAGCATTTGTATTCTTCTATCTGTATTACTATGATTTTATCCTTACCACTTTACTTTGTTTCTGTTTTTTATTGCTTCTGTTGGGTTTTCCAGTTTGTGAGGCACAGAAAGAGTAGATGCATAAAGCCTGGGGCAAAGGGTTTATAGGGGAGGTAGGGGTGTGGGGGTGAGAGATAGGGAGGGTGAGGGGGCTGGGGGAGCAAACAATGTATGCAGGAGTAGGGGCGGGAACAGTAGAACGGAATGTAATGACACAATTTTAAAAGCGATTTAACCATGAAACAGAGAAAAGAACATGTTCTAGAATTGATTGTGGCAATGACTATACAATTCTTCTCGATATGACTGAACTATCCAATTTATGAGATGTGGATCATGTGCCAATAAAACTGTGAGAAAAAAAAGCGGTATTCAGCTCTGGTGGCACAGCGGGTTATGCACTAGCTGCGGTTCAAAACCCCCAGCCAGCCACTCCGCTGGAGAAAGCGGGAGATGTCTACGCCCCGTACAGTCAGATTCGCCAAAGTCCACAGGGGAGTTCTACTCTGGCCCGTGGGGCCTCAGGAGTCGGAAAGAACTGATGGCAGAGAGCACAGAATGAGAAGACTCACTTCTCGGAAGCATGCTGCCATTCAGACACAGTGCAGCTTCCCGACGCCCCTGCTCCAGTCTACAGACAGGACAGCTAACTACATTCCCATTCTCAAGCTTCATTTGCCCCCGGAGGGTCCCATGAAGAAGAAGTGGAGGGAGTGTCGCACCATCAGAGCAAAACACGTCTCCTTGATCGGGCTGGATTCTGTCCTTGAACAAGCAGAAAATGGTTTCCTCATTTATCACCTATGTTTGTTTAGCCCGAAGATACTGCTGTGGGCTCACTTGCACGGGCAGGAAGGAAATAAATTCCAAAGCGGCAGAAGCCCCTTCTGATGGATCATTCCACTTTCTGGAAGCATCCATCAGAACCTGTTTAATTCTAGCTCCACCGCCTCCCAGCAGAGCTCCTGAACATGCTCCTTATCGGGAAAACACCTGACTTATGGCATGGCATGAGAGAATAAATGTGGTACTTTGTGGAAAGCATCTAGCACATATGGAAGACACTCCCACGAAGCGTTTGTTGTTGTTTTAATATTAGTACTATGGCTGCTAGTCTCATATTGAGCCACATGATTGAAGCCCTGGGGATGATTCGGATCATTAATCTACTAAGAATTCCTTCTGGGTAAGGAAAGATGAAGCCGTTTCTGTGACTCGATTGGCTACTGATGATCCCGAATGGATAACTTACTGATATTGATTTCTTCTTCATCGTAAACATCTACTTCAGTCAACCGAATGAGCATTCTGGACAAAATACTGAGGAACTGCAGGTAGGCACCCGTCTTCCCAATCTGTAGGGAAATTCAAAGAAGAACCAAGGGTTAACTAACGAGCCCTTGTCCACATGCCAGGCACTCTCTGAAAGACGTGGCACGAGCCTCAGGTGCTCCCCAACATTTACAGATCTCCTTAGGCTACAACAAGCACCCAGAGACATCTGAAGGAAAGGGGGTGTCCTAAAGAAAACACGACACGCTAACAGCACTCTCCCCTGAGCCTGCCTGCTTAAAAAATCGCTGCAGATGGGGCTCCTGATCCTAGCCAGCCAAGTGGTCAGAGCTGTTCATACAGGGCTTTATCATTAGTTTAAAAAAAGTTGCTTTTAAAAACATGACTGTATAATGTGCAATGTAACAATATCAAAAAGGAGTCTTAACACGAGTGCAAAATCATTACTGTTGTAATAATTGATATGGGTGTCGTTAGGAGAACAACATTATTATGTTAGAAAAAACATGCAACAAATCAATTCTCTCCTCCAGCAGTATGCTGACAGGGAGCTGGCCAGAGGTTCAGAACGGATTCAGAGAGGACGTGGACCAAGGGCTCTCACTGCTGTTGTCAGATGGATGTTGGCTCGGAGCAGAGACTACCAGAAAGATGTTTACTTGGGTCCGATGACTATGAAAACGGGAACTACTCAATGAAAGGTGGACACTGAGTCAGGAAGACTGAAGAATCCATGTGTTTGCAGCGTGAAGCTGGAGACTGTTGAAAGGACAGAGAAGTCGGTCTTAGAAGCAGTGTGAACAGAGTGCTCCTTAGAAGCAAGGATGGAGAGACCAGTCCCCGGAGAAGGACAACATCAAGCTTTGTAAAGCAGAGGGGCAGCAAAGGAGAGGAAGACCCTCAAGAAGATGGACTGACAGACGCCGTGGCTGCAGCCATGGGCTCAGGCGTAGGAGCAAAGTTGAGGATGAGCAGTGCTTCTTTCTGCTGGGCACAGGCCGCTCTGGCCTGTAACTGACCCCACAGCGACCTAACAAAAGCTTAGGGAGAGAAGGAAAATTACTTTTTTTTCCCCCTTTATCCCAGCGTCCCTAAGTCCCTCAGCCCAGTACCAGGCTAGTGCACTGACTGAACTGTTAGCCTTAGCTTGGATTACCTTTGGTTCAAGAGGTGCCTATGGACTAGTCTGGGACCCTCCCTCCCACCTCTGAGAACATTATTCTAGGGATGTGTTTTCAAGTTGGTGGTCCAATAGCTGGTTCAAGGGGAGAAGTCAACAACGTTAATGAAAATCTAACTTTAAAAGGGGAAGATATAAAGACCCAACCAGGGAAGCCAAAGAGAATGGAAATGCCACACTAAAGAGAGAGCTTACAGAGTTCAGGAAAAGGTTTCCCCAGGGACTTACTGAAGGCTTGCAGTCAGACCAGATAGGACCTGCAGACACCCCTCGGAGGACAGAGAAAGCTGCCCAGTCGGTGGGCAGCCACCCTATGGGAAAGGCAGAGAGAGCGAGCCAGGGGAGAGGGTCCCTAACCCAGGAGTGGACCCTGTGTGTGCGGGCAGGGAGGCTGGCAGCGCCGGCAGTGGACACACCTGAGGGGGCCCGCTGAGCAGCAGCCTGCGGGGGTGGAAGCTGTCCATGCGGTTCTCGGAGCGGTTGCTGTAGTCCATGTGGCTGGGCCGGGGCACCGTCCACTGGCGGTAGTAGAGAGACTGCTCAGTGGATGTCATCATCTTGCTCAGCAGCGGGCGGAAGGAGCTGGCCCACATGACCGAGTGGGCGGGCAGGAGCGAGGCGGCCTTGGGCAGGCTGCTGCTGTCCGGGGCCATGACCAGGTCGTACACCAGCTTGGGCAGGAAGATGACGGGCGGCTGCCGGCGGGCCCTGGCAAGGGAGCACTGCGCAGTGTGCAGGAGGCACGTGGGCACTGCCGCGGACGAGCAGGAGCCGGAGGACGAGGAGAGCTGGGAGGACGACACGTGCACACGCCGCTGGCCGGCCTGGGGGCCCGAGTCAGGCTGCGGGGCCAACCCGGGGCTGTGCCCGCTGAGGGCAGAATGAGAGCCTGGACTTGCCCGGCGCCTTGGTTTATCCCCGGGGCCTGGGGCTTCTTCGGACGGGCCACAGGGCTGTGGCGATCTGGCCTGCTCGCCCTGGGCCGGTGCCATCGGCTGGACAGAGGGCTCCCCACACCACGCTGTGCCTGCGGAGAGATGCACCTGGTCAGCCATGCCCCAGAGCCCCAAGAATCACCGGGCACACACGCACAGGCTACGCCGTGCTCTGCAGCACCCGTTACCCATACATGTCCTTGACTGGCAATTGTTCATGAACTTCCATCCCTGGAACGCGGTAAAAAGCCAAGGGAAGAGCTAGGGCTTCTCAGCTGGGATGGCGTGGTCCCAGGACATCCTAGGGCCCTCACCGCCTCAAGGTCTCTTCCCTGTCCACTCTGGCTTTCCGACCCTCATGCCCCTGGACGTGTGGTGCCCTGAGACCCCCTCCTCCTTGCTCACCTCGGGAGAATACATTCCCCCGTGCTCCAGTACAAATGCGCTGGGGGGGGGGGGCACCCACAAGACACAGTGGACTGTAACAGTGTCCCCGTTCAAGGCAGTCCCCGGTGTCCAATACCTGGCTTCCATACCACCCTTTGTTAGTGATCCAACCTCTGTACCATCTGCTATTTTACAAACGTGAGGTGCTCACAACGGTGCATAGTCACAAATGGGAGCTCCTTGGCCACACACATCAAAGCATCATTATTACGCTTGCCGTAGTTCTGCGAACGGTGTTTTGAATGCATCTGGAAGTATGCCACGTTTTTGTTGTTTTAATGCACGGAAAGGTCCCGTATATCCTCGACTATAAACTGACCTGAAGATCAGCCAAGGCTCCTAATTTTACCACAAAAACTGCATGAAAAACATGCTGGAAAAACTCGGCTTATCCACGAGTAAATGCGGTACGCTGTTTATGATCGACGAAGACAAGCACTGGACTAGCTGCCAGGAGAGACGGACCGCACCGTTCTGACTCACAGCAAACGCTGAGGCAAGGGCAGACTTGCTCAGCAGACAGGGGCTGCTGGCATTTACTTCAGTCTCTGACTGGCGCTAGTGCTCCCAGCTGTTCGAATCCACTCAGGGATACCTCAGAAAAAAGACCTGCCTGGGACCCACTTCTATTGACAGTCACTGATGCTCGAGGGAGCCAACTCAATAAAAGCCGTGTGGACCGTCAGTCCTCCGCTCGATGAAACCTTCTGGGACCACCCGTTACCTCACCGCTAGCCTGCTCTACCTGAGCAAGATGATTACTCCCTGAACGCATCACCAACACGCTGTGCGAACCTGTGAGTATGAGAAATAAAGGAAGACCTACTGCCTCGTGAGTCTCACGAGGCCAATGACCAATGAGGGCAGGGCCCACCCTTAACTGACCTTCCCATGTCCGGACTCACAGATTCTCTGTCCTTGTCTGCAGATGGAAAGCCAGGCAGTGTTACTTTATCTATGTTGGAGCACCTGGTCACGGAGACCAGAGGATCCCCCTGAGGCTGCAGGCTTTTTAATTCACATCCCCTGCTCCCATCGCCAAATGGAAATTTCTGGTGTTCAGGACACATGTGAACATGTGTTGTCTTTTGCCGCCCCTCCAGAAAAATCTGCCGTGTCCGGTTCTCATCCTCAGACTTGATAAGAACAGCCCCACCCCCACCCCCAGCGCCTCTCCTGCAGGGGTGCAGTGGGTGGGTGATCAGCCTTTCCACCGGCTCGTTCCCCGCCTGCAGCCCAGGCCACGGCAAGAGGCACCGGCCCCTCTCTGCTCCTGAGACACGGCACCACCGAGCCTTCCTGTCTTGCCCAGAGTGCCCGTGTTCTCTGATGCCAATCAACAAACACTCTGACTGCACATTCTCAGACGCCCACCGAGAAGAGCTTCTCTTTCCCGTCCGCAGCCCTGGAAACACGCCCTTTCCTTCTCCTGCAAACCCGCAGGCGCGCCCTTCCCCTGGGGACAGACTCACCCGAGGCTCTCGAGGAAAGAGAGGAGGCAGCGGAGTCGTGGGAGCAAGACCTTTCCCGCTTCACGGGGCCCCTCTTCTCGGAGGCGGAGCCTGTTCCGAAACAAACGTGACGCACCACCGCACTGACACGGGAGGCTGGCACGTAGAGCGCACCCCCGTGCACCTCCGTGCGTCTGTCTGTCCAGTCAGCAGCCGTTTCCAGGTACCCTGACTGCTAACTAAGGAGAGAAACTGAGGAGCAGGGCGCAGTGCCAGCCAACGCGGAGGCACTCGCGGGCCAGGGGAGCCCCTACACCAGGACCTGGGGGGGCTAGGAATCCCCGGTGTGCAGACAGTTAAGCATCTGCCTCTCTCCCCAGAGTTGGCGGTGGGATTCCCTTCCAAGTGCTGCCGCAGCAGCAGTGGCGAAGCCGGAGGGTCTGCCCTGCAAACCCGGTCACTGTAGGCCCTGCTCTGCAGGTGATTTCTAGGAGCCTGAACTGACCAACTGACCAACTGACTTGACGTCAGCTGGCTTCAAGCGTCAATGATTTCCCGGGAGCCAAGAGGCCAAACACCCACCCTGTGAAAGAAGGGAAAACACATACCTGGAGTCGGGAAGGTCCAGGAGGAGTTGGAAAGTAAAGGGTGAGGGAGGGAAGAGAACTTCAGTGATGGAAAGGGGTGGGGGTGGGGAGCACGGGAGGTGACAAGGAGCATGATGGGAGCGGGAACAGCGGCAAGGTTAGCGTGGTCAGGAGCCTGGGGAGCCCAGGGTGCAGTCTCCGGGGCTGGAGAGCTGAGAGGGGCCAACTGAACAGAAGGGTCATGAAAAGCCAGGGGGGTGTGGATTCACCCCACCGGCAGTGGGCAGCCTGGACACTTCCTTCGGGGCCACCTTCTTGTCCCTGAACGAGCTCTGCCGCCACAGGGAAGTGGGCAGGGCACACCTGATCCTCCCTATCAGCTGACAGAGGCCAGGAGAGGGAAGGACCTATGGAAGGCCAATGGTGAGTGAACAGCGCGGGGGAAGGCTGCCTCCTCTACTGCTGTCTCCCTGATCCCTCTGCACGCACGCACGCACGCACGCACGCACGCACGCACGCACGCACGCACGCACCCTGTATGTCATCAGCTCCCTGTGCTGCCCGGCCTCATTGCTCACTGCAGCCAAGCGCCCTGTGGATTTCTCTGGCCTATTAAAAACATGGTGTTGGGCTTTGAGAGTCTGCAAGTGAGACGGGCCTGGGTGTCCCCCTCAGTAACGGCACACTGTGGAGTTGATTCACACACAGGGAAGAAGGGAGGCCGTCGTACGCCAATGCGTATTTTTGGCCCATGAAGCCTGAACTTGACTGAACCCTACGAGGAGATCTCCGTTCTCCATCTGCTCCCGTGCGAACCCTGGAGCTAGGAAAAACTACAGGAATGGCCACTCCCGCCCACCGCCCACCCCACCGGACGCAGCAGGGTGGGAAGCGCAGTTCAGTGAGTGTTTTGCGGATTCCTCCGTCAGAAATGGGGCAAGAACTCACACCGCTGCCCGTGCAGTGGGAGCCATGGGACATGGGGCACCGTGGTCTAACTGAACACACTGCGGCCCCGAGGAGGTCTGTGAGCAGCAGCAGGGGGCACAGCGCGGGCCGCCCCTCACCTTCCGTCGTCAGCTCCTCATCCTCGTTGTCGGTGCTGCTCAGCTTCTCCACATCGCTCTCGGGGGCCTCGTTCGCGGCCCCCTTCTCCGAGGGAACCTCGTTACTCACAAAGTAGGCAGCCAGGCCGAGCTCCTGCTCCAAGGCCGTCCTCACCAGGCAGGAGGAGTTTATCAGACGCAGGTCACAGTACCTTAAAGACCTAGGCGGAAACAGGAGGGCGGCTGTGGGAGTTACATCATCCGGTGTCAACTCGAGACTATGAAGCGTGAAGGGGTGGAGCCTAGCCTGTCAGGTCACAACTTGATGGGTGGACCGAGATAAATAGCTCGCTGCGTGGGGTTAAAGGGAAGAGGGGACCCCACAAAACATCACAGGTTCGGTAGGCGTAATTGTCCAGCGATAATAAGTAGAGATTATAGTAAAGTCATAGAGAGCATGAGAGTTAAAGGATGGAGTCAAGTAATGGAGTCAGACGCAATTCATGGTAGCATCGCTCACCTCAGCCCCGCTTGATGGTCCTCGTGGAGGGGGCTTAGCCGTCAGAGAAGAAGCCACTGCTTCGTCCTCCTTAGCCACCTTCTCCAGCCACCCTCTCGAGAACCAGGGAGCCTCATTATTTATTGCTAACCACGGATCATATCACTTTAGGGGGATACATCACAGCATTATGCGTCACAGAGAAGGGCAGTACAGTTCATCCTTGAACAGGTTTGATCATTCTGGTGTCTCATACAATAAAGCAGGCAATTACTATCCTGGGAGACATGCAAACCCCCTGATAGCAGATAACAACCTACGTCATAGAGAGGGGTTGTAACATAGGCAATACAAGCAATAGGAGGGGGATGACCTAGGGGTGAATGTGCAATAGTAAGAGGAGGGAATAGGGGGGCATGTGTGGCAAGATAGTAGCCTAAGCTTAGTCATCTTAGAGTGGTCCCGGGCTTGCCTATGGGCACTGCTTCGAGGGAACAAAAACAGAAAGGAATGGGCCCTATTTGTTGTGGGATAAACAGTAGTGTCTGCTTGATCTAGACAGCTGATACCTCTCAGTGAGAATGACTTCCAATCCATTCTTGATGGTTGATGTTAGGGAGAATAACCTCTGACCTACTTTCGCTGCCTAGTGAACAATTATTCTCAAGCTAAATCTGGCATATATTTTGGGGAGACAACTTAAGAGAAATCCCTCTGTTCCTCACATCGCTGGACCCACTCTCTCGTTCTCTGCTGGACATTCCTGTTGACAAGCCACATGGAGCTACACTGATGGAGGCAGAGCCCTGGAGCTGGAGGAGCCTCATGGAGACCCACGCCAGCACTGAGAAGCTTCTACCACCACCACTGGATCCACAGACTTTCCAGCCACTGGCCTGTGTTCTTCCTGCATTCGGTGTCATTGCATGTGTTGTGTGAGCCTGAAGCGGAATTTATAGACCAGTATCGAACATATGGGCTAAATATCGGACTTATGGACTTGATCTGGACTGGGCTGGGCTCAATATACCATTGCTCTTTTATATAAAGCTCTTTCTTATACACATGAGTGTCCACGAATTTGTCTCTCTAGTCCACCGAGACTAACACAGCATCCTTTCAACAGGTATTCACCAGTCTCTTTTAGACAGATAGGGGCCCTCATGATAGGTACGCCCTGGGCTGATGACTACAAGGTCAGCAGTTCACACCCACCCACCGCTTTGTGGGAGAAAGAGGAGGCTCTCTGGGGGCAGTTCTACTCTATCCCACAGAGCCGCTGTCTGTTGAAACTGGATCGATAGTCGTGACTGTTCGTTTTGTCTACAGAGGGGCCCTGCTGTCCATGGGAAATGACGCTCAGCAGCGGCCTGGACCTCAGGGGTGATGCTGCATGACTGTCCCTGCCACATACCCATGGTGACCACCGATAGCGGACACTGATGGAGGCATGAAGCCTAGCTCCAGCTGCAGGGCCCTCCCTCCCTCCACAAACAGCCCCACATAGAGCCCACACCAGGCTTGTCCGACAGGAGGCCAGCAGCCCTTCCCTCAGACACTCTGCTGCCACCTGCTGGCAAATGGACATCAAAGCCACTGATGTCCAAGAAGAGGTAGACCAGTGGTTCTCAACCTTCCTAATGCCGTGACCCTTTCATATAGATCCTTATGTAGTAGTGACCCCCCCAACCATAATATTATTTTTGTTGCTACTTCATCACTGTCATTTTGTGACTGTTATGAATCGTCATGGAAATATCTGATGCAGGATGTATTTTCATTGTTACAAATTGAACATCATCAAAGCACAGTGATTCGTCACAAAAGCAATGTCATTATATCTTGTGAAATATTGATTTCTAATTACAGATAAGTGAAATGTTGTCTTGAAGCATGGGTAACAGTCTTCATATAACAACAGTAAACTACATTGCTACATTTTGCAACAGTCTGCATAAAAAGCCAACATAGGTGCGAAGGCTGAGATAGATTCTTTCTCACCAGATCAGCATATCTGCTTGTGGGCGGACCAGCCTGGAGACGGATAGAGGAGCGGTGTCTCAGTTCCTAAGGCCATCGGAAATATGTGTTTTCCCATGGTCTCAGGGGACCCCTGTGAAAGGGTCGTTCAACCCCCAAAGGGGTCGAGACCCACAGCTTGAGACCCACTGCCATACGGGCAGTTCTACCCATCCATGGGGTCGCTGTGCGCTGGCACTGACTCTTCAGTGGTGACTTAGAGTGAGATAAAGACTCTGAGCGCGTAGGGTGCCATTCAAGGTCCAGAGTTCTAGCCTGACCTGACACGCCTCACAGTGGTGAGCCAGGCCCACCGGTCTATGGGAAACAGGATTTCTCCCAAGTTGTCTCCCCCAAATATATGCCACGCTCAGCTGCTTGCAAATGACTATGCACTTGGCGGTCATCAGGAGTAGATTAGGGGTCATTCTCCCTAAGAGCTATCAGCCATCTAGACCAGGCAGACACCACTGTTTATCCCGCAATAAGAAGGGCCCACTCCCTTCTGATAGGGATAGTAGTTGTCTGTTTCCTTGTAGGAGACACCAGAGAGGTCAAACCCGCCCAAGGATGACCAAGGTTAGGCTGCCATCATGAATCTAGGGTCCGCCCATCTTGTCACATGTGTACCCCTAGACCTTCCCATTCCTATGGCACACCCCTAGCTCATCCCCTTCCTGTCACGCTTATGCCTATCATAGATCCCCTTCCTACGGTGTATGCCTATTGTACTGCCCCTTCCTGTGACGTGTGGTTACCTGTAATCATGTCCCCCTAAAGAGAGAACGCTTGGTTAGCAATAAAGAAAAAGCTCTCCCCAGTCCTCGAGCCCGGGGGCTCTCCCCGGTCCTCAGTCCCCAAAGCTATCTCCTGCTCTCGTGGCCGGGCTCCCCCCACAAGGACCACCAAGCAGGGCTGAGGTAAGCATGTACCATGAATTGTGTCTGACTCCATTATTCCAGTCTCTCCTCTACCCCTCATGCTCTATGACTTTACTATAACCCTTACTTATTATTGCTGTACAATTGCGCCTACTGGACCTGTGATGATTTGTGGGGACCCCTCTCCCTTCTCCCCACACCAGTCAACTCTCTTCACTGCTCTGCTGGTTAATCAAAGGCCAACTCCCTTCACTGCACTGCTGGTTCATCACAGGCCCCCCGGGAGGTGTGCATGTGTGCACGTCCCCGTGCACACTCACCTGGGCAGGGATTCTCCATGCGGATCTATCCCACTGAGGATCAGGATGCAGGGCAGGCCCTCCAGCTCCAGGTACGTCTGAGGCCTCCACTCGGCATCGTCAATGCGCTGCCACTCCTGCAGGCAATCATAAAGCGAAGGAGGGGTGAGAATCCTGGCTCCCCAGCAACCGGCGGACGGTGCCGGGTGCCCTTTAGACATCGCCCGTTGTGAGGGTGGCGCCAGACTGAGCACCATTTGGCTCTGTGGCACACAGCGTTGCTACGAGCCTGAACCAGCACACCACCAGCACCTAATAGCAGCAGCATCATTGTTGGCTTAAAATTCTCTGAGGTGTCTTTTGATCCAGGTGGCAGGTCTCTAATTCTACAAGCAAGCACAGCTCCTAGGGGACCACTGCATCCCCGGCTCCTGCGGGCAGTGCCTGCACCGTCACGGCGTTCAGAAAAGATCGATGAAGCGGCCGGCTGGTTCTTTGGAAGAGAGCCGACGTCTTCCCGAGCCAGAGCGTTACTTTCTCCAATGTGCTCAGTGTGTTCTCTCCGTGAGACTGCCGTGCGGCTCGCTCATAGTCCCCACTCCTTTGCTCACCACTCGCTCTAGCCCTTGGCATCCCCCCTCACCTGCAGGCTTCGTAGGACCCCCGGTGCCACCGTGGAGATGCTCTGGGCTGCTAACGGCGAGGTCAGCCTTTCCAAACCACCAGCTGCTCCACGGGAGAAAGACAGGGTTTTCTGCGCCCACGGCGAGTGGCAGTTTCAGAAACCCACAGGGCAGGTCTACCCTGTCCCCTGACTCGATGGCAGCGAGTTTGGCCTGGGGTTCGTGGATTGAGTGAGACCCTGCTAGGCGGCAGGCACACATACACATGCATGTGCGCTCACACATTTCCTAAATGTGAGGCACTTAGGAAAAGGTGTGTGTGGAGTGTGGCCCTTGTCTTCCACCACGAGGGGCCGGGGAGTCAGATGTCATGGAGGCCACTATGACAGCTGTGGGCACAGGGGCTGTGGCGATGGGGGCATCAGACTGCTTTGTGGGAAAGAGGGGGGCTTCCTGCCTGAAGCACAGGCAACGAGTTCAGTTTTGAAAGCCTGGAAACAATAGATACACAAACCAACCAAGCTCATGGCCACTGAGCAGATGTCGACTCATCGCCAGCCCACAGGGCAGACAGGGTAGAACTACCCTTGCGGGTTTCTGGGGCTGTAACTCTGCACGGGAGTAGACATCCCCATCTTTCTCCTTCGGGGCATCTAGTGGTTTCAAACTGCTGACCTTGAGGACCGTAGCCTGAGTCCCCGCTGGGGCTCCCAGTGAAATGAAAGAAGACTTAAAACGCTCCCCAGAGAAAGACAAGCAAGCCACGGACAGGGGTGGGAGGAGAGGAGAGAAGGTGAGTAAGTGGTTTGGCCCCACTGAGCTGAGAAATGCGCCTCGGGAAGGGGCCAGAGAGGAGGCTGGGGGGTCCCGCCAGATCCTGGGAGCTGGCTGTCCCTGCCCCCCATCCCTCATCGCCCCCCCCACTTCGCCACCCACCTTGAGCTGCTGCAGGAAGTGTCTCCCGACGGTGACGCCCGCGCTGGGGCTGCCCAGGATGATCTCGAAGTGCTCCTCCAAGGACAGCCGCTGCCGCACGTGGGAGAGCCGCTCGTAGGCCACGGCCGCCAGGGGCGCGCAGGGGACCCGCAGCAGGACCATGAGCCCGCGGCCACAGGGGCACTGCTTCGAGGCGTTGAGGAGGTTCTGGGTGATCTCCAGCGTCTCCACGGACGTGTAGTTCTTCATCTGGGAAAGGCCGCTGGCGGCCATCAAGGCCGCCGCGTAGTGCTGCACCAGGACAAAGGTCCTGATCACCGCGCTGTGCAGGCGGGGGAACCTGCAACGCAAAGGGGCCGTCCGTCTGGGACCGGGGGGCGGTGCGCCCCCACAGAGCCCCTGCCAAGAAGGCGGTCCTCGCCACCCCCGTAAGTAACCCTGGCAGCCTGCCAGTTTGGGGACAAGTACAGCCAACGCCCAAGTGACTCCCAAATTTTATTTCCCAAACGCCTTTCGAAGTCAGCTGTTGGTGTCTCGCAGCTCCTTTCCCCCTTTTACAAGCTCCGTGACGTGTCCAGCTAAGACACAAAAAGGTTCATTTTCGTTGTTCTTTCTGTTCTTCATTTACATAGTAGCCACTTGATAAATGTTTGCCCAGTGAATCAATACGATGCTGGTCTATGTAGCCAGCAATTAGCAGCCTACTTTACATTTGGGGGGACAAGTTAGGCAATGTGCCCAAGCTTTTAACTAGACATAAGAGCCCCAACCATGATCAGCATTATGAGTGGAGCTACCACAACCCTACCTGAAATTGTGTGAGACCACCCTACGTCTCGTGAGATAGCCTATGGAGTCAGTGACGAGAGGAAGTTATTAGCAATGCAACTACATGTGCTGCCATCAGATGAACGACAAACCGGAGCTTCTCCAGTCAAACCAAGAATGCAGACGCCTCGGTTATTTTACTGAAGGTAACCCAGTGCAGGTACATCAAAGGGGCTGCTGCCTCCACGGGCATGCACTGTGGAACATCTCCAACCTGTGTGTCGGAAGCAGGCCCCACGGCTCACTGGGAAACTCCAGTGCTTCTCAGCAGGGATAAGCAACCCGAGGTCCTTTCTATAAAATGCTCTTGCATAACACGTGTATTTAGCTGTGATGAGTCTCCTTGACTCAGTGGCTTCGGGGGAACAAATAGAGTTTCTTGACCCACCAGGATAGGAACCTTAACATGATCATGCTGCTCCGACGACAACCCTGGCACCTGAGTTCCCACTGGGGTAGCCGGATCACCTGGCCAACAGCATCTCTGATAGCATCTAACGCCACTGTGACATTGTGCCCTGCTGCTTCTTCCTGCTCACCGTTCCCTCCCTCGTCTGATGCCTCCCTGAGCACTTCTCGGGAAGGCATGGCTGGTCCTTGGAAACGACACGAATTGGACTTTTGGCCCAGAGACTACCTCACTTTGTCTTGCAGGCTGGCTGAAAAAATGTGTGGGAAACGTCCTCGCCTCACTGCCCAGCTGGGGTGGTCCCTGGTCTGTCCCCTTGAGCAAGGTCATAAAAGCCGTCTGGGCGTGTGGCTCTTCCTTCCCATAGCTGCTGGCGTGTTGGGCTAGGTACAGAGTTCACCTACAGATGCTCTGAATTCTGAGAGGTCATCCACTAATGTGGAAAATGCTGGCATTCCATTTTGCTCAAAGGATGAGCGGAGACTTCTGTTTGGGATGAAGAGAGGAGCAGGGACCGAACTTCTCCAGTGACTGAAACAGCGGAAAAACGGAACGAACAGATGATCCGACAGCGCTTCAAGACATACGCTATTCATCAAGGAAACACTGTGTCCAGAAAAATGTAGGTGACTCTCTAGCTTCTGAAAGTCTTTCTCGGCTGCGCTGCGGAAGGAGGAGCCCGGCACAGCCAGAGATGCTGTAAGTGCCAGCAGACCAAAGCAGCCGGTGTTCACAGGACAAAGGACCAAATCAGAGAGAGATGCCGGGCCGAGGACTCTCAAGGACTGCAGAGGGTGCCCCTCACACCTTCATCTGAACAACAGCCATTGCACCTGTGTGAGGCAACTGCCCAGAGTCTAGCAAAGAGCCAACCGAGAACCTTGTGAGAGGAAACACTTTATCCCATTTCCTATCTCAGATGTTGTGAGCTTGATATTCCATGGGAAAGGGGCTCAACCACAGTCTACAGCACAGTCAGCACTCAGCACATGCGGCTGCCGTCAGAAGAAGGTAGGAAGCAGGGCAGGGGCTGCAGAGGTTAGTCTCTCAGCCTCCGCGTCGGCCCCAAAAGGACTGCTTCATGCGAAGGATTTCAAGAGCCCAGCTGCCAATCCATGAGTTTAAAAAATGGCCTTGTGGTAGTTACATTATCTGCTATCAATTTGGGACTTGAGAGGATTAAGAGTGAAGGGGTGGAATCTAGGCTGTCAATCAGGTTGCAGCCAATGAGGCCTCTGTGTGGGCATGGCCTTCTCCTGAGGATTCTGGGAACTCCTATATTTTCTTCCTTGGAGGTAGGAGACACCTCTCTGCTCACTCCCTGAGAGACACTCTACTGATAAGTCACATGGCGCTACACCCTGGGAGCTGGAGAAGCCACATGGACCTACCCTGATACAACCAGACCTCTGGAGCCAGAGAAGCCACGTAGACTCCTGCCAGCGCTGAGATGCTTACAATGCCACTGGATCCACAAGACTTCCAACCCACTGGCCTGTGATCCTCCTGCATTCGGCATCATTGCATGTATTTTGTGAGTCTGAAGAGGACTTTCTAGATTGATATCAGACATATGGGCTAATATTGGACTTATGGATTTGATCTGGACTGGGCTGGGACGTTTTCTCAATATTCAATTGCTCCTATATATAAACCTCTTTCTTATATGCAATGAGTATCCGTGAATTTGTTTCTCTAGTCTACCCGGACTAACACAGGCCTGACGACCGACTCTTCTTCTATCATCATCACAGAGCTGGAAGGTCTCAAAAAATTGAGTTTCTCAAGGCGTGTTCTGGGGAACACTTCAATACCGTACATACTCGAGTATAAGCTGACCTGTATATCAGCCGAGGCACCTCATTTTACCACAAAAACTACATAAAAACGTGCTGAAGAGCTCGACATATACAGGAGTCTATACGGTAAGTGAAAGGAGGCACTGCGCTGGCGCCTTCTGGCCAGGCTCACGGAAGCCACTGAGAATGGTCATGGTACAATACACAAAAAAGTACACCTCCTTTTTCAAATGTAACTTTTCCCCACACCCTTGGCCATGGAACTCTTTTGCCTCAGCAGCTGTTAGCACACAGTCACAGCAGAGCTGCTCGGCACGCCCGTGAGGGAGGCACTGTCGTTGCATCCTCTAACCAGCGTGGCGGCGGTGGAGGCACTCCTTCTGTCAAAAGACAGGCCTGACCTGGCTCTCCACACACAAACCGCGGTGCCTGCAATTTCCCAACCTCTCCGAGGCTCCGCTTCCTCTTCTGCAAAATGGCAGCCTCGTGACTAGCTCACGGGTCTGTGGGGACGGGGGTCAGAAGACAAGCTCTGAGTCGAGCTTTGTTCGGATCGGTTCGGTCACTTGCTGGATGTGGGACCTGAGAAAGTCCTCAAGGGCTTTGGGAGGTGGGGTGGAGTGCTGCCTCTGGACACCTCTGTTTCTTCCTTTGCACAATAGGCATAAAAGCAATGCCATCATCATGAGGGCCGGGTAAGACGGAGAAAGGGGGATTCTTGGGACAACATATGGCCTGAAACAAGCACTCCGTAGACAACACGTGGAGGATATAAAAGAATGAAGCCAGTCATATACACACACACACACACACACACACACACACACACACACATCATGAACTCGGCCTCCCTTGGCTGCGACCTTTGGGATTTGGGGCATCTTATACACACACACACACACACACACACACACACCATCAACTCGGCCTCCCTTGGTTCTCGCATTTATAATTCCTCGTTCCAGCATGTGTGTCTGTGGATTCCCATCTCGAAAGGTTCCTGAAGCAGCCGTAAGATGATGTCACCACTGATACGAACGACCCGACACAGGACAAGGCATAAACCAGCGTCACTTGAATGGACGGACTGAGTCACCCAGAAAGGGAGGGAAGGGAACCCCTTTGCAGGAGCCCGCCAGCGGCTACCCACGCCTCCTGGAAGGCTGGCCCTTGACTCTCCTGAGCCTGCCAGTCACTTCCGAGAGAGAAGAGTACCTTTTGCCTAACGCGGTGACCATGGCCTCAAAGGAACTGTCGTATCGGAGCAGGGGGAGGCTGTGTCCGGAAAGGGTGGACTCAATGAACTCTGACAGCCCAAAGTACTTCTTACTTTCGGGGTACAAGTCCACACCCTGAAACAGAGAGGAGCAGCTGTCACGCAAACCCGGCATTCCCCGGGAGGGCAGAGGTACCTGTCCGTGCCAGGCGAGCAGGTGATGGGGCTAGCCTTGTAAAGTCGTGCCTTGTAAGGCATTTTAGAAATCTCCCCTCCTTCCTGATCCAGACCAAAATACTGCTTCATCCTTAAAGATGCTGCATAGCACTTGGTCAAGGGTTTGCCCAATGTCTGGAGGCACTTGGTCCCAATGTCTTCACCGAGAAGAAACCCCAGCTCACGTAAAGCTATACATGTACATACACAACTTCCTCTATTAAAATTGCTTCTTTCCATAATTATGAATTGATCTTGGGAATATGCTAATCAGTGATCTCGTATCCCCTTGTTATTAAAATTAACAGGAAAAATATAGACTTAGCTAACTTGATTCAGGCTGGCATCCATTCCTGCACCCACTAAGACGGGTGCTTCTCCAACATCAGAGCACAGCAAAGTCGGGGCAGGCTGTTCAAATACAAAGGCCCAGACTTCACCCCAAAGAGCATGAGGGCAGGGAGGCCAGACCACCCAGATCAAGCCTCCTGGCTGCACAGCCCTTAGGGAAGGGGCCCTCTCCCTCCCGCCGCCTCGTGTCCCCAAGGACAAAGCAGGAATCAGACCAGCACCTGCTTCTGGAGCAATTCCAGAAGCACAGGCCCTTAGACAGTGCGTGGCACAGGGTAGGAGCTTCATGAACAACTGTGATTGTTACTCTTATTCTTGGTTTGCAGGATGGGGGCCAGGCGTCAGTGTTTTCAAAAGCTCCTCAGATGACTCTGAGCCACCCTGAAAGTCCAGCATTTGGCAGTTGCTTCAACCACCCAGGGTCCTCAAAGGATCCGAACGGTTTGGGTCTCCTCTTTTGGCCAGGAAAGGACAGGTAATAAGCTAAACTAGAACTAACTAGGCAACAAGGATATGTGCTTGGTTTGAGCAAGGAGATTTTGGACCCACTGCTTCAGAGTGTGGGGACAGGAAACGCAGGAGGCATGTCGAAGAAGCCTTCTAGATAAACTTGGGGTCCCTCCATATGGAGCCCCAATCCCCTCAGTTTTCAAGGGGTCTACCCTTAACGTCTGGACCCTCTACCACGGAGCTGCTGCTTAGAGGGTCGGAGAGCTCCAGCCAGTACTGGGGAACATGCCAAACCTGACTGCATCGGAGGGGCCAGCGGAGACACTGCGGGAAAGGTTCCCACGGGCGTGTGGAAAAGTTAAAATCTATTGCCAGGTTGAATGAAGGGTCCAAGGAGTTGGACTCTGCTTGATCCCCAACAATATCAGTCAAGATTTTTTTTTTTCAGTTGAAACAGTATTTTTTTTCCCAACTCAAGGGTCCATGCAGAATTGCAAAAGCCTGGGGCCCGGGCCCTGGGGGTCACTCACATTACTGCAGGAGGCCGGCCAGTGGACCTCGTTGTACGGGCTGATGAGGGTGTGCTGTGTCTGCAGGGCGTACGGGAAGGAAGTCACGTGCAGGGTCACGATGTTGGGAGCCTCCTTCACCTCCCTGCAGTTCAGCAATCTGTCTACCACACCCACCGGTGGGTCACTTGGAGAGTAGAGATTGTGAACGGCGCTACTGAGGGGAGGGAATGGGAGAGAAGAAACAGTGAGGGGCATTCCCAACCCAGCAACCCCGCCTTTCCACAGGAACAAGCCCTGGAATGCACGCATCCCAGGCCACCCATGGCTCTGTCCCTGCCCAGGGAAAGGCGGAACAGAAACAAAGACTGCATTTCAGGGTCTCTCAGGACCAGCCGTGACACACAAAAGAACTGGGGTGGGGGGAGTGGGGGCAGCTGCTCCTCTAGAAAGCTGCCGAGAGCTACACAATCCGCCTACCCCTTTGGCCCCGTGTCTCTGAACCAGCAGAGTTCAACATATCGCCTTCTTGCTCCGGCCCAGTCTGTGTGCACACTGTGTCCTGAGAGCCTTGTCCTTCCCACCCTCCCGCCCTGGAGATGACCGAGGAGCAGCTAGCTACACAGGGGCAGTATGTGCTCCACGCACACGGCCCGGCCGGGGTCAAGGAGAAGGCACGTATTGGGGCAAAGGGCTGGAAGGGGGCCTAGCTCAGACCCTTCCTCTTTGTGAGATAATGGTCTCAGCTTAAGGAGCGCACCCTGGCTCCCTGGTGATGCTTTGGCTTGACGTTCGGCTGCTAACCACAACTCTGGGGGTTCAACACCCCCACCCCTCACGCTAGCCACTCTGAGAGAGAAAGACAAGACTGTCTGCTCCCTTCAAGACTGACAGCCTCGGAAACTCTGTAGGGTGGCAGTGAGTCAGCACCCACTAGGTGGCAGTGGGCTTGGCTCGATGGACTCAAGTACATCTAGGGAAAGGGGCCAATCGGGGCTTAGCCTTTGGTGGGAGGTCAAGAAACCTACCCCATTGTAAAGAGTTACAATGTCGCGGTTATGTCACTGCGGGATGTTTAAACCCCAGCCTGCATTGTAAACCTCTTTTCCAGGGGATCTATAAGGCCCTGGCCAGCCCTACATTTCTATGAATCTGTGATCAAGCAAAGCCTTCCTCCATGGTCTGCCCCCACCCCAGCCCACTGGCCCCCCAGTTTCTCCTGGCCGGCCTCAGCAACATTGTCTCAACCCAACCCTAAGGCTGTTCTCACAGCCAATGGCCATGAAGCCCCATCAGGCTCCTGGTGAAATTTCACCTGGCACCAACTATGCCCATTTTAACTGAGCCCATACAGTGGCCCGCAGAGGAAACTGAGCCCGGAGTTGGTGGCAGCCTGATTCAGGGAGTGGCCTGGGCTGAGCTGTCCCAGCCAACCTCCTCTGTTGACAAAGAGGGCACAGAAAAGGCTCATCAGGATGAAATCCAGGGGCCTTGGTTCTAGACCAGGCCGAGTGTCACTGGTACCCACCCCCACCCGCTCAACCCCCTGCCCGTGACTTGCAGTGAGACACTGCCCTTCTCCGGCATTTGTTTCTCCTTGTGGAAAACTTCTCCTGTGATAGCCCCAGCTCAAAGAGCCTGAAAACCACACCATCTGCTTACAGATTCCAGACCTCCCAACCCGACAGCACACATCTTTCCCAGCCCCAGCCCCCCCGGCCCAAAGCTTCATCCACACAGATCAAAGGAGAGCCTTGTCATACACAAGTCACTCTAACCTCACAAGATCCCAGTGGGCATGGTCGTGGATTAGAACAAAGAGGGTATGCGGATTCTGAAAGGAGTTTTGCAGAAAGGCCTTAAATTTTGTCTGAGCCTCCGCATCTAGCTTCAAAACATACTGTTCTACTCTCTGCTTGGTCATGTGCTCCTTCTCCAAGCCAAGCTCCAGTAAGACCCCTGCAACACAGTAAAAATGCATCAGACACTTCAAACATTGTCACTTTCACTCAACACACCTGGGAAGCAGCTCTGATAGGCCGGGCAGTGTGCTGAGGCCTAGGTCTACCCAGGTGACTGAGACAGAGGGGACTGGGAAAGGGACTCTTACCCAGAGGACTACTGTCTAATCCTTCATGGTCAGGATGCTGAGGCATGGGGATGGGGTGGGGTGGGTGGTCTGATCCACAGCTTGACTGTGCACACAGCTGTCCCCCACTGGGCCCCAGAAAAGCTGGCTTCATGAAGCAGCTGCATCCAGGCATGAAGTAAAACTGAGCGTCACAGGATACCACTCGGGGTTAATCTTGTGCGTGAGGACATTAACTCTGAATATCGCATGCTTAAATATCAACTCCCCGCAAAGCACACAGGACACGCACGCGTGTTAAGGGGAAGTCACACCTTAAAACCTAGCAGGTGAGCTGCAGTGTGACCCAATCGAAACTCGTGTCCCGGTTCTACCTCTTAGAGACAGTAGCATCCTGGGCACCCATCTCTGAGCACCAGTTTCCTGATGAACAAAACGGGTGTGGTCACACTTGCCCCACCAGGTCGGAAGCGAAGAATCAGGTGAACTCTGATTCACCGGTGATTGCAGAGGGACCCAGGCTCTTCCACGCAAGACTGAGCCCTGGCCTCGGCAAGGCTAGCTACCTGAATGCCAGACGTGGAGCAAGGTCTGCCGGTAGGTCACTTCGGAGGGTGGAATACAAATCAGAAAGTCAACCTTCTGGAAGGATCCCAAATCCAGATTCTGAGTGCTGGAATCGGCGATGGAGCACAGGTGGGAGAGGAGCTTCTGGGCCACTGCCAACTGGAAGGGCCGGACAGGGTGTGGCTCCGGTGTGTAGCCTGGAACCAGAGCCCACAGGGTGAGGTGAGCCAGGGGCACCCATGGTTCCCACCCCCCTCATCCTAAGAGGGTAAAACTCAGCAAATCCAGCAGGGCCCCAGGATAGCGGTGTCCTCTAAAGTGGCCAGCGAGTGTTTATTTGGAACAGGCACCCCTCCTCTGGCTGGAGCTCAGGGGACAGCTGCCCAGAGGAACTGATACAAGTGCTGATGCTGCAAGAGGATGACAGTTCTCAGGTAGAGAGGTAGGGCTATCACAGTTCTTTGGGAACTGAACACAGAGGGATCCTTTTAACAACGTTTGCACAAAGCAGAAATCAACACACTGAAACGTGCTCTTTCAGGAAAAGCGGACAGACCTGGATAGTCAGGGCAGAATGGGATTATCACTGAAGATGGAAACTACAATTACGTATTAGGTCTCCGTGGAGGCTAAGGATCTGCCTTCTGGACCAGGGCTGGACTAGCATCCTCACAGCCCCCAGAGCTCCTGGAAGGCCGTCACTCCCAGGCCCGGCCCTCGGCACGCACGCAGTCTCCTCTCCTGACTCACCTGTGCATGCTGGCATCCCACGGGCATCCAGGGCTGCCGGTTTACTAATGGAGGAGGTGGCAAGGGAAGAAGAACTATGGCCTTGATTCTCCTGATGAAATTTGTCCAGCAAAATGTCGATGTCACCCTCTACCCAAAACAGAGAGAATAAACAGAAATGTGTTTTGCATCCCTGTTCAATTCAGTAGACACCTAGGAAACACCTACTGTGCCCCAGGCACTGTCCCGAGGCCTGGGTACCAGAGATTTAAACCAAGACAACAAGAAAAGAAAAAGGTATAGCCCACACCCTGCCAAGGTCTTAGTCCAGTAAGGTAACTACATGAACAAAGCCAAGTACATTGTATCTGGGCATGTGCCCATGACCGAAGAAAGCGTAATAAGATGCTGAGGGACAGAGAAGAATCCCAAGCCCATCCCAGAGAAGGAGGGGCCAGCAAAGGCTTCTGGGAGAAGCCTTGAGGGGTGGGAGGTGGGAGAGGAAGGGCACTCTCCAAATAGAACACAGGGCACGGACATCGTCTGCGGTCAGTTTCAAGTGAGCAGGAAGGGGAGACAGGGAGCAGTGGCAGGCAAGGCTGGGGGAGAGGCAGAGGGGGCCAGGCACAAGGCCCTGCTGTGCAGACGGGGTCAGCGACCACACAGCCCCCACCACGGAGAATCCAATGCTTCAGCCAGCACTGACTCCTGACCCATAAAGGCAGAGGTTAGAACAGGAGGGCCAGCTTCTACAGGAAGATGGATTAGAACCTGAACAGGCCTACCTGGACAGAGGGTGCTAAAAAAGGCCCCCAAGGAGTCCACCTTCCCAGTCACCAACTCGTAATTGACTTCCTTCTGGTACTCAGCGGGGGTGAGGAGGCTCTCAGAGAGAATCCGGGCTTGGTATTTTCCTGGAAAACAATCAACACACCCCAAAGGGCCCCTTAGGGCCTCACGGAGGGACAGGACCCGGGTCTCTATCTCTCTACACCCCAAGGCCAGCAGCTGGCCTGGCAAAGAGCTGGTGCTCCAGGATCTTTGTTCAATGAGTGAATGGCAGGCAACCGTCCCAACACCTTCACAGCGATGGTGACCAGAGGGACGAAGGCAAGGCAGGCCAAGATTTTGCAGAGAGAAACTGGGGCCCAGGCTGCGGAGCCTCTCCCCCAGCGACTAGTCGTGTCACCCAGGATGAACCCCTTGGGTCTTGCAGCCTCGGCTTCCCCATCTGGAAACAAGGCTAAGCTAGTAGCAATCTCACAGGACAGGGCTGCCGCGAGGATTAAAAAGAGACAATGTTTATAAGATGCATGCATAGCATGTTGCCCCACCCCACACGCAGCAGGATGCCAGGTTTACTGCCAGAGCGATTATTGAAATCAGGGGGCAGAAATAACAAGAAACAAAGGATACACTGGGATCAGAGGATAGCCCCTGGTGGCTGTGATACTGCATGGTGATAGATCATCTTCCAGCCTGCCGTAAGGGACTCAAAATGCTTCCGTCTCACATAGACAACACCTACTTGGGTTGTCTGATGTTCATGCATTTATATATTATTTGTACTTTGAATTTGTCTGACTTTATTTAGTTATATATTATTTCTGGTTTTTCCATTCAACAACTCGTGACACTGATGCCCGTCCTTAGACATCTCAGAACCCATTGCTCTAGGACTGCAAGTTCAAGCTTAAGTAAGCCCCGCCCATGCACAGAGTTCTGAAGGACGCACCCTGTTGGGTAAAAGAGCAGAGGCCAGTGGGCCTTTAAACTGAGGATGCCTACAGTGCAAACCTTGCTAAATACCACGTCACATTCCAGGTTAAAGACGACTCAACTTGTCAGTGTTGCCCTTTCAGATGTAGAAGAGGAACCCGATTTCCAGAAGGTACTTTCACCAGCACCCTCCAGGGGGGCTTGGCAGCCCAGAGGGATGCCCAGCTTCTTCCTCTTTTGTAATCTAGGGATGGCTGTACGTAGAAGTGTATAGTGCATGGGTCCTTTGTAAATTCAAATGAGGTAAATGATTGAAATTGTGACTTCTGGAAAATTGCACTTTGCTTTCCTTGCCCTAGGAGCACTGGCAGCCTAGAGGGTAAGAGCCTTGAGCTGCTTGCTAACCGCACAGTCAGCGATTCAAAGCCACCAGCTGCTCTGTAGAAACAAGACGAGGTTTTCTACTCCTGAGAAGAGTGACAGTCTCAGAAACCCACAGGGGAAGTTACTAGCCTGTCCTACAGGCCGGTAGGAGCCAAAATGCACGCAACGACAGTGAATTTACTCTGGTTTTTTGGGTTCTCCCTTAAGGAGCTGCTCATTGCTCGTTGGCTTACACAAGCTCACTAGTAAGGACTCGAGATAGACCTCACGAGGACCCACTTGCTCAGTCCACCATCCTCTTGCACAGGAAGAGTAGTCTGCAGGGTGTGTGTGTGTGTGTGTGTGTGTGTGTGTGTGTGTATGAAAGAGAAAGAGAGAGATATTTTGGAGGGCACGCAGTGGGTGTGAAGAAGCCAATACGTGAGGCTTGAGCCCCCCCCTCCTGGTGTGATTCTGTGCCCTTGCGCCAGAGTAAGAAGGAGCCTCCACGAGCTACAGCTGCAGGCTAGGAAGGGTGTCTGTGACCTCAGTCACATGGCGTCAGCACGCAAAATCTGAATTGGCCCTAAGTTGTATTCACCACTCGATTTCCTTAGCTGTTTCAGGGGTACATATTTGAGCCTTCCATTCCTGTGGCATCAGATCCTGCCCTTCAAACGCAGAACTTCACGTGACTAAAACTCGGAGGAATACTGAAACCGCCCAAGGAAAGGACCCAGTGCCCACAGAGCACTGCTCAAGTCCTGTGATCCCTTGCCTCGACTTCACGCCATCCACCTGCAGCCAAGGGCGCTCTCGGCATCTTCATCACGGATCACCAACTAGACCCCTTCCTGGAGCCCCGGTGGCCTAGCAGCGGTTACAAACTGGGCTGCTAACCACGAAGCCACCAGTTTGAAACCACCCCCGCCACTCCGGGGAAGAACGACGGGGCTCGCTACCCCCATCGAGAGCTTCTGTTCTTGGAAACCCACAGGGACAGTTCCACCTTGTCCTGCAGGGTGGCCATTAGTGAGGACGGACCCCAGGGCAGTGCGTTTGGCTTATCCCCCTGCTTTCTTCATCTGTACGCCAGCCACCTCTCAGACCGAACCCCAAGGGTCCCACTCCCCTTCTCAAAGCCATGCCTCTACAAGACACCCCTGCCGCCCTCCCAGTCTTCCACACCTCACGTGTCCATCCCGCCCAGCAGTCTGACCCCACTGCCACCGGCCAAGCTGCTCAAACTGCTGAGCATGGCCGGAGATGGCACCCAGCTGTCTCCGCAGACACAGCTGCCACACCAGTGACCGCAGGCACTCTTGCTGGCTGCCCCCGAGCCACCCCTCAATCCAGGGGAACCCCTTGGAGGACCAGGACCCAGCAAAACTCTCCCCGAGGGACTGGGGCCTGGAAATCCTCACAGAGGTCGTTTCTAGGCCTTTGCTCCCCAGAGCCGCTGGCTGAGTTTGAACGGCCAACTTTGGGATCAGCAACCAGTCACGCTCTGCATGGGCCACCCAGGTTGCTCCGAATCCTTAGTGCCGCCCTGTGCCCCCGTGGCACTTCTCTTGGCAATGCGCCGTCACCTTCCCAGACAATTGCTTCACGCCCCTCTTCACGCCTCAGTCTGGCAGCGCTGTGACTCCCCCGCTGCCTATTTAAAAGGCCAGGACAAGGAGCGGCCGAACACAGCAGGGCATCTTCTCCTGCCACCAGCCTACCTGCGCCCCTGCTCATGTAGACGCCCAGCCCTGGGCCTCCAGCCAGCACCTTGCCGGTAGAGTGTGGCCTCACACCCCCGGCCCCCTTCACCGCTCCCCTCCAGTGCATCTCCTCCTCACCGCACTCGGCCTCCCCCCGCCCCCCCCATCAGCTAGTGTCTGCCACCCTCCTGCTTCAGTCCCACAATGAAACACCCTTCGACTTCTCCGCTTCAACAAGCCAACAGAGAGGCTGCTCCCGTTCCCCTCCAATTACTCTCCTGTCTCCATTCCCTTTAGAGCTAAATGCTTCAAAACAGAGGGGGAGGGGGAGAAAAAGGGAACCAATCACAATGATGGGTATATAACACACACACACACACACACACACACCGCCAAGGTGGACGAATAACAGAAATGTGGGTGAAGGGAGACCGCAGACGGCGTCAGATATGGAAATAACAATACTAATATAGAATTGATCAAGGATTCACGAGGGTGAGAGGGTGGAGGAGGCAGGTGAAAAAGAGGAGCTGATACCAAGGGTTCAAGTAAAAAGAAAATGTTTTGAAAATGGAGATGGCAACAAAGGTACAAGTGTCCTTGATACATGGATGTGTAGAGTGTTGTAAGCTCCGTTAAGAGCCCCCATAAAGTGATCAATCAATCAATAAACAGTTGCCTGTATTGTCCCTTCCCCTGACTCTCTCCTGACCCAGCCCAAATAAGGCCCCCCCCCCCCAGGAAACTACTTGGTCAGGGTCCCCGATGACCCCCAATGACAGAACAAGGGGTCCATTCTCAAACCACACCCTGCTCTGGCTTCCTAAACTTCCGTCTCCCCTCCTCCTCCCTCGTGGGCGCTCGTCTGCCCCGTCTCCCCTGTTCCCACGGCCCGGGCCCAGTCTTGGGGAGCACAGTCATTGCCCGGGGGCTTGCTTTCGCGTTTGCCTTGGGTTTCTGCGCCAACACCAGCTTGTCACAGGGGGGTCCCCTGACTCCCGTTTCAAAGTGTGTCCCCTGACTCCATCGCTCTCCCTCTGTCCGAGCTGTACTCTGCCATCACACTTACTACCCATTTCTTGATGGTGGCTCTGCCTCCCCTTCTGAAACAGGGGCCCTGGGAAAGCCAGAACTGAATTCTGCCCACCGCCGTCTCCCCAGCACCCCAAACAGTGATTGTTATGCAGGTCTTTGCTGTGGTTTTATAATTGATCCTCTCATTCGCCCGCACGACACAGTAAGGTATGGTTTTTATCTGGGCTTTAGAGTTGGATCCACTGAGGGCCAGAGTCAGATGGCCAGCTGCCTGGTGGGCCCAAGGGAACAGAGGAGGTGGGACTCAGGAGTCCCTGGAAGACACGCACAGTGAATGCCCTCAGTGGCTAACGAGAGGTGGGAGGTGGCAGTCCATCCAGGGGTGCCTTGCTTGGGAGAAAGGCCCGGCAATCTACTTCCCCCAACGCAACCCTGTGGAGCAGAGCTAGACTAGGGAGCATGCCAGGCCTCTGGGGTCAGCCAAAGGCCCCTGGATGGAAACCGGCTTGGCTTTTGAAACATTTCAGACACAGACTCTAAACTTAACTCACATATTCCTGAGGGAAGACCTATGAACCAGTAAGCTTGCTATTTGAAACAGGAGACACACTGTACCATTCACCGTGTGCGCCCAGGGCCCGTGGCTCCTTGCTGAGAAGGCCGAGGTGGGGGGTGTAAAAAGGAGAAATCACTCCGGCTGGGTTTCTCTAAAGCCAGGGGGCGGGCCCAGGACTCACCTGTGACGGCGATGCAGGAGTCGATGGCCGAGCTGCGGCAGGCGCAGATGATGACCACGTAGTTGGTCTTGGCCAGCTTGCCCTCGATGAGCAGCCGGAACATCTCGGAGAGGCCCTCGGCCAGCGAGTAGGTGCACTCGATGATGTGCACGCTGTCATTGCAGGAGCTGGCGGCCAGGCCGGCCAGCCAGGGCAGCTGCGCCGAGGTCACGGGTGCAGCGGCGCCGGGCGCTGGCGGGAAGGGCTGCGGCGGCCCCTGTTGGTACTGGCGGATCTCGGTCAGGTGCGACTCACGCCAGGAGCGCATGAAGATCTGCTCCAGGTCCTCCATCAGGGGCACCTGGTCCGCCGCTGCCAACAGGGCAGACAGACGGACAGACAGTGCTTCAGCCCCCGTGCCACTTGCCTGGCACGGGTGGTGTCAGACATACTCAGGCAGGCATCTCTGGGGAACATGTGCACGTGATTTCAAAGAGCAATGTTAAACGGCAGAGGGGCCCCTGGGAGTCACAGGAAAGGGCAAGATGCAGGAAAGAGGAGAGGGAGCTCAAGGGTCCAGATGGCAAAACACTTCCTACGGGGTGACGTGTGGATCAAAACTCAAATGGTGCGAGGACCCTAACCATGGAAAGGTTGTGGACAAGAGCGTTCCTTGTGGAAGGAACTGAAAAAAAAAAACCTCAAGTGCCATCACAGCAGATCCTGTAGGGCAGGGTACAGCTGTCCTTATGGGTTCCCGAGACCTTTCGGGGAATAGAAAGCCTTTTCTCTCCTGAGGAGCAGCTAGTGGTTTCGAACCACTGACCTTGTGGTTAGCAGCCCAACATGTAACCACTATTCCAGAGAGAGGAGGGGCAGGAGGAGAGATTCCTGACCGTCCTGAGCAGCAGCCCTAAAGGCACCCTTCCTGCCTCACTATGCACCCTGCCAGCCTGCAGCCCTGGCTCCTCCCCCTCCCCCTCCCTCTCCTCCTCCTCCTGGCCTCGTGACCTCACAGGGCTGCCTTGTCCCCAGGCCTTAAACCCTAGCACTCTTCCCAATCCATAATCGCGCCCCTGGTGTGGTAGTTACATAATCTGGTGTCAATTTGAGAGGATTATGAGTGAAGGGGTGGGGTCTGGCCTGTCAATCAAGATATAAGCAGTGAGGCCTCTGTGTGGGCATGGCCTTCTCCTGAGAATTCTGGGAACTCCTATATTTCCTCCTTGGAGGCAGGAGACACTCTCTCTCTCTCTGCTCACTCCCTGAGACATGCTCTACTGACAAGACACATGGCACTACGCTGATAGACCCTGTGCCCTGGGAACTGGAGGAGCCACGTGGAGACCCAGGCCAGTGCTGAGATGCTCCCACCGCCACTGGATCCATAAGACTTCCCACCCACTGGCCTGTGATCGATCATCCTGCATTCAGCATCATTGCATGTGTCTCACGAGTCTGAAAAGGAATTTATAGATTGGCATTGGACATATGGGCTAATATCGGACTTAATGCACTTGATCTGGACTGGGCTGGGATGTTTTCTTAATGTACAGTTGCTCTTTGACATAAAGTTCTCTCACACACGAGTGTCCTTGGATTTGTTTCTCTAGTCTACCCAGACTAACACCTGGGATCTCACCCAACTTCACAGCTTCCTTGTGTATCCTCTCTACACCCGTGTTCCCAGCAGACCTCAGCCCTGTCCCCGGCCCCTCTGAGGATCCAGCTGTTCAAATCCTCAACACAGCCCCTGCAACTGCAGGGGGAGTCTCAAGCTTAAGAACGCCGAGACACAACCCCGGGCCTTCCCTGGGCTCCATCCTCCTCCTCCTGGTGTCCTTCGGCTCCCTCAACACACACCCCATCAGCCGCAGCTCCAATTTAAACCCCAGGGATCTCTCTCCTCAAACCCCAAATGGGCCACCTTCACCTCTCACAGAGAGAAGGGCCACAGTCCTGCAACTGCCCTGCCCTGCGGTCTGGTCCCACATCGTGGCAAACGTGGTTTTCTGAGAGTGAAAAATGACGTATGATATGTGAATTATGTGCCAATACAACTGATTAAAAAGAAAGAAAAAGGGGGGGGGATTGAGCTGAAACCAAGGGCTCAAGTAGAAAGAGAATGTTTTGAAAATGATGATGGCAGCAAAGGTGCAAATGTGATCGTGGTAAGAGCTGGGGAGGAACCCCAGTAAGATGATTTGAAAAAAAGAAAGAAGAATAGCGAAGAGAAAACCAATCCGATCACGTTCTTTACAAGAGCCTGTGGCCCTCCCTCTCAGCCTGCCTTACAGCACACACCTCCCCCTGCCCCTGCCTCCTCCGCCCTTCCCTGCTCGCCCATTAGTCCACCGCACTGGCACACCCCAGCGTGGCCTCGCTCACACGCCTCACTGGTGTGACTCCTTGCCACACTGTTGGTGCCGACGAGGCGGTGGAACAAGCTCTTCAACAAACTCGCCCCACAGGATGACCAGTTTGGGGCCCTTCCCCAGCCCCTCCTCCGTGTGGTGACCCCTGCATCACTTCATAAGGATGCGTGACTCTATATCTGTGTACACTGGAGGAAGGGGAGCCCTGGAGGTAGAGTGGTTAGACGTCGGGCTGTAATCCCCAAGGTTAGCAGTTGGAAACCACCAGCTTCTCGTAAGAGACACGGGGCGTTTAGCCACCTACAGTGAGGGTCTTGAAACCCACAGGGGCAGTTCCCCCAGCCCTACGGGGTCGCTGTGAGTCGGCATGGGCTCGATGGCAGGGGGTTAGGTTTGGAACGCCCATGGAAGGCAGGTGTGGCCAGTCCCCTTACAGCGCATCTCCCACAGCCCCAGTGGACATGCATGCGTTCAGAATCACCTTGAGGGTCAGTTGGAAAGGCGCTCGGTAGGTCTCACCTTTTGTGGTCACTACCAGCGGTCGCCGGGAACGGGGCAGAGACTCACCAAGCTGGACGAGATAGTAGACGGTCAGCAAAAGCTGCATCTCTTCCGAGATGGGCTGTACGGTGGACGCCCCGTACTGCTCGTAGGCTCTCGAGATGGACTGGGAATTCTGATAGCACGTGTACAGGAGAGGGCTTATGACAACGTCACTCAGGTTCCCGCAGAGGTAAGGGAAGTTCCCATGGCCTACAGAGGAAGCAGCAGCGGTGGCGGCTTGGCAGCTGGCCTTGTGCACAGCCACGTGACCCCCACACCTGTGGGTCACTAAATCAGATGGGCAGGCTGCAGCCAGGACCCCTGCAGTGTCCTTTCCCAGGAGACGGCTGCCTTCCAGCTGTTGCCAATCTAGCGTGCCTGCTCCTGCTCCACACTCCTGTTCTACCAGGAGGGGCAGTCACCTCTAGCATGTGCCTGTTCCTTGGTCCGATCGCCTTGTTCACCAATGGACAGAGCGGAGGCCAGGGAGGAGTGACTTCTCTCACGCCAGAGGCACGGCTGGTTGGAGCCCTTTGGCACTGATCGTGGAACACGCTGGCGCGTGTGTTCCACATCTGGATCTGTGCTCACCCGGGACTGCCTGCCCGAGGCTGGCTCCCTGACTCCAAGCAGGTACCCACCTACCGCCGACAAATTGGTGCCAGCTAAGAGCAAACCTACAAGACAGGCTAGAACGGGCCCCAGAGAGTTCTGAAGGGTTTCTGAGCCATCTCCTAGTCAGAAAATACTTAGGGCAGACCACCAGATCAGAAACTCCTTGAAGCAAAAGGCTGTGAGTTACCCATTGCCAAGTGCCTGGTGCCCCATTCACACCGCGCCTGCCCCTTGGGAGGGCTCAGGGAAGTCCGGTGCAGGAATGAAAGAGCAAATGAAGAAGATAGATCGTTTCACTCTGGGCCACAGGGGAAGACTATTAGCAAGCCCTAGCCTTCTGGGCAGCTGGCCAGGGGCCAACTAGAGGCTTGTTCTACTCTGCTGCTCTCTCGTTACCCTGGAAAGAGTTTTAGGTTGTCCTCTGAACAATGTCCCATGTGTCCCCTGCTTCTCTTGGATGTCTTTCAGGCTCTCCTCCAGCCGCCTCCCACCCCCCAACAGCTGCACTTGCCTTTAAATATCACGGGCCTGGCCTTGCAGATCTTCAGTAAGTTGTTGGGAACGGACACTGGTTCTCCGGAGGCCACAACAGGAAAGGTGGCTGAAGCGGGTCCCACCAAGCCAACCTGGGGCATGCAGGACATGCCCGCAGTCTCTAGGGGCACGCCAAGAGGGTTAGTGAGAGACAGCGGACAAGACATCGTCCGTAGCAGAGCTTTCAACGACAGCCACTCCCATGTCGGCTAACAGTGACCCAGGTCCTGCTCGTGGGAGCACCAGCGTCTTGGGACCAGAAAACCAGCATACCGGCCAAAGAAACCCTTAGGCTCACTCCGTTCACCCTTCCTCACCACCTGGGCCAGCCTCCTCCTTGTCAGCACTCCTGCCTTGAGCCCCTTTCCAAAGTCCACTAGGACCAGGGAACCCACTACTATGCACAGGCTCATAGACCATGCTAAGAACCTTCCTTTGGCTATACTGTAGCTAGCTAGTGTCCCTAGAAACACCCTTACCAGCCAACTAACCAAGACACCACCACCACCCAACCATCACTACCACCACCACAACCAAGACCACCCAACCATTACCACCACTACCACCACACAAGTCAACCATTACTACCACCACCATACAATTCAACCATTACTACCACTACCACCACACAAACATTACCACCACTATTACACCACTACTTTCCACCACCACCACCAACCAACCACAACCATCGCCCACCGCCACCACCAGCACCTGAGCCAGGGGTGCTGGCAAAGCTGGGGTCACTTACCATACTTAGCTCTGTTCCCGCCGCCCTGGGGGCAGCCACCATCCGTAGCTGATGGAGATTCTGGAGACCACCCTTTGTGGCGTTTTTTGGGGGGCCCGGAGGTTGGTAAGATACCTAGACAACGTGCAGAGCACAGATTAGGCCGTCTCGAGGAAGGCAGGTCTCTAAAGCATGTTCTCCTCCATTGGACAACACTGCATCCATGTCATCCACAGCTCACAGCTCGCCAAGGGATTCTGAGTGTGGCGTGAATCGCCTGGCGTATTGAAAACATGCATCTCATCCCCAGACTGGGTGTGTGCCCAAGCTCTACCTGCGGGCCTTCCACGCTGCGTCTTCAGAAGCGGAGCAGCAGGCCTACTTTGAGAGGTGCTCCGTGAGGACTACAGAGAACGCAGGTGAGGCACACAGTGCAGTACCTAGTTCCCGCTGACCACGCCACCACCATCACCACCCCTGCTCTCTACAGTCTCATCTCATTTCTAAGCACCAGGTCTTCAACGGCGGAAACCCCATTCTCCGTATGCACTGCCACAGTTTCGCCACTAGACGTCAGTATTGGCCCACCTGTGCTCCCCTCCCTGAGCAGCCCTTGAAAGCTAATTTTAGATGAGACTCCAGGAGATAGGGGGCCCAGTGCCGATGAGTCACCCTCCATGCTCTCTACATGAACATTATGCTTGCGACTTCAGCTAGTTTCGGGGGTTAATCAAAACATCAAGGACTGATTAGCGTTATGCTTTTTGACCCACCCGACGTATAATTTCTCCTATAGTTTTGAGCTGTGGGTCAGTCCTGGCTGTACAGTAAACTGGCTGGGGAAGCTTTATTAAGTATCTGCCTGGGACCCCAGCCCACTGCAGCTCAATCAGAAGCCCAGCATCTGGTTAGGGCCCAAGTATCCCCATGACCTCAACACTGCACTAGAGGCTCTGATGGACGGAAGACGCCCACAGGGTCCACAGAGTCGTTTAGAACCATTTTTCTTTAGCAGGGCTCTGTCAGGCACCCTATCAGAAATACATCTGGGAGCAGTGTGGTCAGGGGGAGAAGAGGGCAGGGAATGAACAGATGGGCGCAGGTATGGTCAGACATAACCGGGAAGGAGGTTCAGGAACGAGGTGGGAGGTCAGGAGGCTGTGGATGAGTGGCTCCATGCAGGGCACCCAGCTTCAATTCCTGGCCCGGGCCCCTTCAAGGGCAGCCACACCCACCTGTTAGTGGGGGCCTGCACGTTGCTACAATACGGAGTGGGCTTCAGAGAAGCTTCCACACTAAGATGGACTAGAAAGAGAGGCTTGGGGATCCACTTGCAAAATCAGTGAGCACATACCCCACGGGGCACATTGGCCCTGTCCATGACCAATCAGAGGACAGGGCGGAGCCCGTCAGCACTTCTGTCTACCCCGCGTGGGGTCACTCTAAGTTGGGGGGGGGGGGCGGGTGAACAGCAGTTAAGGAGGTACTGCCCACACCCCTGCACAGAGCACAGCAAGCACAGCTCATCCCTTTAACTTGAGAATGAGCGTCCCCAGCAAGCTCTGCAGAGCCACATGTGACAGTGTCCGGGCCTGAGGGAAGGCGGCTTCTCCCACCCACTGCTCTGGGGTGAGGGATGGGCGCTGCTTTGCCACAGCTCACAGGAAGGAGGAGGGTGCTAAGGCAGGGGCCTCCCATCCCATCTCCAGAGGCTCACCGCCCTGGGCACCTCTCCCTCCCTCCCTGCCACGAGTCCATTCTGACCCACAGTGACCCTACAGGGCAGGGTACAACTGCCCTGTGAGCTTCTGGGCTGTCACTCTTTACAGGAGTGGGAAGCCTCCTTTTTCTCCCATGGAGCAGCAGGTGGTTTCAAACTGCTGACCTTACAGTTAGTAGCCCAACTCAGAACCCACTGCACCAGCGGGGCTCCTAAAGCCCAGGCCGTAGGGGAAAGAATCAAGAATGGGAGGGCCTGCCTGCAGCTCCCTGTGCTTCGGGGTTAGTTTCAGCCTCAGATCCGACTCAGAAGACGTGTGCGCTCCTTCAGCTAAGAGCTGGGACACTATCCCATGTTCAGGAGGGAGGGTCCCCAACATCACAGGAAGGCAGGGGAGACGGGGTCCTGGGCCTTGGCCCTGCCTCTCAGGGCTTCCATTTTCCCCACTGGAAAAACAGAGTGTTGGACACAATGATTTTGAAAGGGCTGTTCCGAGGTGGGGGGGACACGGCTCTCATCCTAAAATCCGGTTTTGTGGTCAGGATAAAAGAAGACAGAGAGGAATTCTCCCCTTCTGAGCCACAGCTCAGGTACGTGCTCCGCGTGGATGCCTTCCCAAGCACTGCTGACTCTGAGGGTGACATAACAGTGCAGGGTGCCACTTTCCAAGGTGTCTGCCCGCTACATCCAAGCATCTGTCCCTCGAGCCTCCTAGCGACCTCCCGGATCAGAAAACCAGAGACTTGTCCAAGACCCCTCAGCGTCATGAAGATGAGATTCTGAATCCTGCGTTCGCCCCTGAACAGCACGCGGTCCCTCCTTCTGCAGCACACGGCAGCCCTCTGCCCGCACAGCCCCCAGTGGCACAGTGCCTCTGCCCCCGACTGAGCAGAACCCCTGCTTCATGCCACACGCAACGCCTACCTGTGCCTCCTTGAGGACGTCATGGCCTCCCCTGCAGCTAACACGGGTCTGGGCACAGACCCATGTACTAGAGAGGCGTCTGCTGGCCTGTCAGGCTCCCACTGCAGGCAGCCCCCAACTCCAGCAAGCTTAGCAGGCCGAGCCTGTGGGCTCCCCGGCTCTCCTCCATGGCCTTGGCACAGGAGGACAAGGCAGGTACACTACCTAATGCCGAGGGCCTGGGCAGAGACACCAGGCTGGTCTTCACCGACTGCTGTTGCTTTGGGGAATCTCTGCCGTTGAAAACTGCGGGCCCCACCGCTGCCGCTAGTGAGGGGTGATCAGAGGCTGGTCCTGGAAGAAAGAGAACAGAATAAGTTCCCAGGGAAGCTCTGTGGGTCAGACCAGGAGGAAAGGCTTTTGCCTCCAGTTTGTCAAACTAGCTATTCACTGGCAAGTCCCATTGGGAGGTCAGAGTTCCTGCAGCCGACCGGAGACCCGCCTCAGTGAGAAAATGCATGCACACCCACACACTCTCTCCAGTGAGCACGGTCCGCATGGAAGAAGGTTCGGAGGGGCATGAAGGGCAGCCAGGGAGGCTCCCCGAATCCCAGGACGGGACCTGGAACAGTTCTGCCTTGTCTTTGGCTCCCGAGAGCATGGGTTTTACCACAGCGCCCCCGAAAGGAGAGAAGACACAGAGTGTTTAAGGGACACTGCGCTTCTGCTCAGGGATGGTTTAGGAGTGGTCACGGATGACGAGGAACATCATGTCACAGAATTCTCTACACACGGGTCCTGCTGAAATAGCATTTTTTTCTTTTTAACATACAAGGGGACTTCACGAACTTCATGGAAAACAAAATGGGTCTTTTCCATGAGTTTTGTGAAGTCCACTCACGACTATTGGCCACAATAAGAGTCCCTCTTGTGAGAAAAATGTGCCCAAGAAAGCCATCCCCCGTTGACAGCGTTCAAGCTCTGGGCTGGTCCTAGGGCCTGCGGGTCCCAGGTCTAGGGACAAATGGGGACAAGCATGGTTTCTGTTGTCTGAGGCCTGATGCCGCTGCGGGGGCGAGAAGGCCACAGTCGGTCAGGTAGAGTTGGGGCAGCACAAAACCTTTCCCCACAGGTAAGGCGGTGCTGCGGGGGCGGGGGGGTTTAGGAGCGTGTGCCTGAAGCCAGACTGCCAGGGCTTGAATCCAGCTCGGTCACGTTCTAGCCATGTCAGCTCCCGGTGCCTCATTTTTCTCATCCGTAAAATGGGCGTAACGATTCCCCTTATCCTCGCTACGAACGCTCTCTAACCCAGCATTTTACATTGAAGACCAGAGTAAAAGATCTGCTCTCCATCCAGTCTGCACAGGAATGCCACCATCTGGATGTCACGCGCGTGGAGGGGTGAGGGGCGCGGGGCGTGGGGACCAAGGCCAGGCATTGGCTGGCTGGGCCATGGCGCCCAGGGGATTGCAGTGATGGAACGACATCGCCAGTGTGTGACAGGGTGCAGTCACCCCAATTCACACAATGCCGATTCTCCAGAACCCCCTCCGCCATGGAGCAGAGCCACGTCCGTGAGTGAGGAGAGAGTGTGTGCAGCACTAACTCAGAGCCCAGTCACGGTGGGGGCAGTGGAGAGAAATAACACACACAGAACAGTGCTGTGGTTCTAATGTGATCGCTGCATCTTACTGAATTCTCCCAGGCACCCTCCAATTGAGACAGAAAGGTTCCTTTCTCCAACGTTACGCTCCAGGAAGGAGATTCGAGGGGTTAAGAGTGAGCTGCCCGGGTCACTCTGCTAGGAGGCAGCAGTGCTGGACCTCACACCCTGCAAGGCATGCGAGGGTGCCCGAGCTCAGCCCCCAGCCCAGGCACACCACAGTACACACCACAGGAAGGGGGGTGCGTGCTTGGGGGGGGTGGGCAGCAGCGCCCCAAGACTGGTGCCAGCCTGTTGTTTGTGGTTTGTGATGCATGGGCATGCTGGCTCCCAGTGTCAGGGTCAACGCTCCACAGATGCCTTGGGCAGTAATGACAACCACCATCGGCCTTCCTACATCCTTAAGAAGGCTGGTATCTTCGGTGACAACAGCTATCAGCCAACATGCTAATCAGTGGCATGCCAAGATTAGTGGCATTTGGGAGATTAGCAAGATGTCCCGGATGCCGACTCTTGGCTCCGCCACTCAATGTCCATGAGATCCTGTGCAAATAGCCCACCTTTAGGAGCCTCGATTTCCCCAGTCATCAAAATGGGGTGCGTGAACCCTGCGGGTTCCCAGGGTAACATGAGATCCACACGGAGAGATGAGGTGCTTCAGGCATGCTAGCCGCCTAGTCCAGCAACCCGATTCAGACTCAGGTGGGCAGAGGAACCGCCATACAGGTCACGAATTGCATGCTGTGGGCATGCAGAGAGGGCCAGTATGTGCCCCCACCCCCAATCAAGGAGACCGCATCCGGTGTCAGAGAGGAATGCGGGATTCGTACAGCATGATGTTGGAAGTGACTACGAGCCCCAGGAGAAACGTAAGGGCAGTGGAGAGAATAACGGCGTAAATGGAGCCCTGACTCCTGCTGCAGGCTGTCTGATCGCACCACCTGCAGCGTCACCTCACCTGCCTGCTGCGCTCCCGCCACCACCATCGCGTTGGCTGCCAGGATGGGCTCATTCAAGAAGGTCACCAGGGGCCCGGCGTTCTCCAGAGGTGGGAAAAGGGAGCCAGAGCACGTGCTGGCAGGGGCTTGCCGGCTCCTGAACTCTAAGGAGGAACGATACATGTGTGAAAATCAGTTCATGATTCCCTAGTGGCCACGAGATGATTTCCTAAGCTGGGATTTGCCCTTCAGGGCCAAGAGGGACATGGGTGGCCACACAAGGTGCCAGTACAATCCTAGTCTTTGGTCCAGGGTCGCCAGGGGACGGAAGAGAATGGACATCCCTGTAATGGTGGCCTGAGGAAAATCTACCTCAGACACCATCTGACTGTCAGGAGTTGGATCAGTGGGGGGCACTTGTAAGAACGAAAAACAAACTGCCCTGAGCCATCACTCCATCTCTGCCTTCAGAATTCAGGAAAGGGGCAGAATATGGCGCAAAGGCAAAGGCAGAGCCAGCAGGCTCTGCCTTGTGATTCATCCCGTCAGTCAGAAAGATTCTCAGGTGTGTCCGACCTGTTAAGTTCTTGGGCACATCAAGGGATCAAAGACTATTAAACACCCCACCACCACCCCACCCAAGAGGATCCCTCAGCCAAGCAAACGTCCAACCCTTAGTAAGAGCTCAATAAATAATTACTGAATAGAGTAGGGGATAAAGACAGGGCAGGAAAGGCAGATGAGGAAAGCTACCCACTCCTGTAGCCCCTCCCTTTTACTCCTGGGGCCCAGGGCGGGAGGACTGCAGGTGCCCAGATCCACAAAAACAGGCCCCGGAGGGACACAAGATGACTCCTCGCCATCTCACTGAGAAGTCTGACCAAGACGCACCCTTCACACGGGTGTAGCCCAAACCAAGTCCTCTCTGAAATCTAGCCGCCCTTCCCTATTGTCTTCCCACAGCGGACTGAAAGGGGGTCTCACGCAAGGGAGATTGCTCTCTCCGGAGCTCCACAGAGCTCTCTCCAGCCCAGTCACTTCTTCGGAAACCAGAGATGTGAACTGGTCTTTCTGCCGCTACTCAGCAGGACTCGGGGGCAGCATTCAACGCAAGCTTCCTCTAAATCAGAGCTCCCCAACCTCAGGACTGCAGGCGCCTGGGCTGGATTAAGTCTACTGTGGGAGGGTGGCCATCCTCTCTGTGCCTTGTAGGATGCAGCAGCAGCTCCAGCCTGTAGTCTCTAGAGGCCAGTGGCAGTATTGCCCCTACCGCCACCAGTGGTGACAACTCCAAAATGTCCCAAGACATAGCACATGTCCCCGGGGCAGAAAAATCACCCTGGATGGAAAATGTGCCACCAGGAGACACAGCAAAGTGTGACGCTATTGTCCTCAAAGGGATTCTCATTTCGCTGTTGTTTACCCTTGCTCCTTGAAGCTCCTAAAACACGAGTCTCTGTCATTTTTTAAAAATGCCCCATGCCATCAGCCAGCTGCTAGGAACTAGCTAAAATCCACGGAATACAAAATAAGGCTGCTCCTTTCACAGGCCTGCCCGTTGTCTGGAGAACGGACTCTCCCCACGGGGCTGGGAGGCCACGCACCCTCCACCTGGCAGACAGGGAGGCTCACCTGAGCCTTTCCAACAAATCAGAGGTCCTTTGGTTAGGGTTCCGTGCGCGTTGCGGACCAGGTAGAACTTCAGGTGTTTCTGCTTCTTGGGCTGGGTGGTCAGTTTAAGGTTTATGTGGTTGGAGAACTCCGTGAAGTAGCAGAAGCCTTTCTTCCCACAGCCCACACAGTTGCCAGAGAAGCCTGCAGGAGGAAACAGATCAGCAGTGTCCAGCCGTGACTGGGGACACAAGCCTCGCCACACCAATTTACCGTCAGGGCCATCTCCAAACGCGGAATGATGGGCAGAACAGGAGCCACCACATCCGGTTAGTGTCGTGGTCGCTCTTCCCTTTGTGACACAAACCTCCCGTCTCTACAGCGAGCAGGCCTGCGGGTTCGGACTCACGGGAAACCGCGTACCTATCTGAAACTCCACCCTGAAGGCCTACAACCGGCCTCACGAGCTGCTGACAGGACACCAAGCGAGGTCCCCGGCGTGCAGCTACAGGCAGAGCTGCCGTCGTTGCTGGTAGGCTAGGGCCGTCCAGTTGGCTCCGACAAAGTGTTGCCCGGACCCACACTGTCCTCCAGGGTGAGATGGCGAGCCAGGGTCACGGCCACTCTGCCAGCCCTGATCCTTGAGAACCGCCCTCTTTCGGGCTGACCCTGCACTTCCCCAAGCATGCCATCCCTTTCCCAGGGACTGGTCCCTCCTGAGGACGGGTCCACAGTTCGCGAGACTCTAGGGAGGATTCTGGCTCCCTTCTTCCAAGATACAGTTGTTTGTTCTTCTGGCAGTCCACGATCTCTCAATGTTTTTCATCAACACCATCATTCAAATGCCTCCTCTTTGTTTGTGGCTGGGACGCTGCCAATTGAATCCTAGGAGCTTATAGCCTGCAGCCCAGAGCGTGGCTACCTCTCCATCTCAGTTTCCTGCCACCTGGGGTTGAATGTCCCTTCTGAAGGCTAATCAAGGCTGCCAACCCCCTGGGCCTCTGGGCGGGTTGCCCGAGTGGGGGTGGGAGGACCATGACGAAACCCACCTCATCTGAACTATGGACAGAGAGCATGCGACCTTTATCAGCTGCCATGCCGACTCATAACGTACTCATCAGAATGACGAATTAGGGCAGGTGAAATAAGATGACAGGTAACTGTTCTTATCTGGGCTCACTAGCTCCACAGGGCCTTCCTGAAGGTCTGGCCTGGACACTGGTATGCCTGGTTCCTGTAGGTCCAAGGGGAGACCCTGAAGCCTGAGAAATTGAGACTGATCTATCTTATCCTATTTCTTGGCTGACAAGTTTCCAAAGGCCATTGAGATAGTTAAGGTTTGTTGTGCCAACCTGGCCGATAAACACTTGTGGGCTTAACTGAAGGGCGGAGAGATAAATGGCTCAGTGATCCCCGCCTTTCTAGTTCTGGGGTCTCTTGCTTTCTGTTGGTCAGACCAGAGTGCACCTGCCTTAGCCAGTTCCCAGCTTCAGCTGGCAAGGCTCACTTCCTGCAAGACATCCCCGAGGAGACGCCACATGGACCTACCCCGATGCAGACCTGGGTGCTGGAGCAGCCGTGTGGAGACCCCTGCCAGCGCTGAGATGCTTACACACTCACTGACTCGGCTTTGCTCCTGCAGTCAGTGTCATTGCGTGTGTTTTGTGAGATGGCGGAGGACTTTGTGGATCAGTGTCTAATGTTGGACTCATGGGCTTGGACAGCACTGGGTTGGGATGCTTTCTTAATGTCCTCTTTATATAGAACTCTCTTATCCACATGCGAGTTGCTGTGGATTTGTTTCTCTAGTCTACCCAGACTAACACATTACGGTACCAGAAGTGGGGTCCTGGAGAAACAAATCATAAGAGGGAGAGGTTGACTTTTGCCTCGTGGTAGTTTTACTTCTTTGGCTCGCCAGAGGTCAGATAAAGCCACACTGTTTACTCGGTTGTTTCTGGGGAAAATATGGGAAGTATGAAAATAAAAAGCTTGGAAGTCCACTTGCTTTCAGCCATGAAAATGTGATCTCTAGATGTGTTTAGGCCATACCTGCAAAGAAAGCTTTGAAAAGATATGTCCCACCCAGTGCTTTGGAGTACTCAGGAACCAGTGGTCTTTGTCAGAAGCTGGAAAAAATCTGGAACCATGAAGAAAACTCCTCTCTGGGACTGAATATTAAAGGAAGCCTGTGGGGTGTCTGAAATGCTTGCTGGGTGACCACCTGGATCTACTTATTGGGGAGAAATTCAGCAATAAAGAGACGGGTTGAGTTTGGCTACTGACACCTATGGACTTGGTTTACAGGGAAAAGAGGAGAAGTCGAGAGCGGGTTGACTGGTCTAAAGTTCATGACCTAGCACGAGGGGGCTAGGCTTGTTGAGTATTTGTGTGAGCCCATGGTCTAAAGGCAAGGCGACCAATGGGCACTCTGTGGAGGCTGAGTGAGGCAGCCCACACTGCGTAGACCTCGAGGCCCGAAGATCCCAGGCACAGCCAGAGGGTTGCCTCCGAGCAACTCAGGTATGTTCAAGAGAACATCAGGTAGTGGCAGCTGCAAACACCCCCACTGGGGAATAAAGCATCTGTGTTATAAAAACTCGCTCTATTTCCCCTGTCTTTTCAATACTCCTCCCAAGAGACCTTGGAAACAAGCACAAACCTCCGAGCACCATGGGTTAAACCCCAGACTGATGGTTCAAATCCACCAGCTGCTCCTCGGGAGGACAGGGAGGCCATCTGTGTTTGAGAATATTCACAGCCTTGGGAAACAACACCCCTCACCCCACCCCCAAGGGAGCAGACTCTACTCGGTCGTGCAGGGTCGCTCTGAGTTGGTATCAGCTCGCCAACAGCAGTGGCTGTCACAGCACGGTGGTTGGGGGTAAACATGGCTTAGGAACAAATGAGAGGGGGAATATGTCCATCGTGACCACCCATCCCTCGGGTGTTTGGGCTCCATCACAACTAAAGCAGAGACCTGACCGACTGATTCACTGGAGGTAGGGCTCCGGGTCCACCGGCTCCTCTGCAGGTTGCTTGGGCCGCGTGCATGAAGTGTGAACAAGCCGGCAAAGGGCGACGTGGCAGGCAGAGTCGGAGGCAGACCGAGGTGAAGGTTCATCCTCAGACAGCGTGGGAGGTGATAGGGGGCACCCTGGCTGGGGGCTCCATGCCGGGAGACGACCTGCCCATGCGGGACTGAACCATCAGGCCACCTCTACCTGGCTGGGATCCTGAATTAACTGCCTGAGGAGTTCCGTGCCCCCTTCATCCCTGTCTAAAAAACTAAGCTTCTGGCTAACCACGTCTTCTCTTGTATGTGGGTTATCAGCGAGTGGAGATGAATTTCCATGGGAAAACACACCAGCAACAATGAGAGCCTACACCCACATCTGACTCTTGGGGCTCTTTCAGACAAACCCTCTCAGTGGATTCGAAGTCACAAAAGCCAGCCTTCCTTCCAGATAAATTATTGAGAGTGGGCTGAAGCCCAAAGCAAACCCACTGTCTTCAAGCCAACTCCTACTCATGGCAAGCCCAGGTGGTACAAGGTAGATCATCAACTCCAGGTGCAGCAATTTGCAACTGTAGGTTGCGACCCATTTGGGGGATCGAACAAACCTTTTACAGGGGTCGATCGCCCGATTCATCACAGTAGCAAAATGACAGTGATGAAGTAGCAATGAAAATAATTTTATGGTTGGGGGGGGGGTCACCACCACATGAGGAACTGTATTAAACGCGGCATTAGGAGGGTTGAGAACCACTGTGCTATAAGGTAGACCAGCAACCCTAGGTGCTACAAGATAAGATTGTCAGCCCGTGTTACAAGGTATCACATCAACCCCAGGTGCTACAAGGTAGAGCGGCTTGGCACTTTCCTGGACCACACAAAGGATTAAGCAGTCGGCTGTCAACCAAAAGGCTGGTGTCTCAAACCCACCGCAGCTGCTGGGGAAGCAGACCTGGCACCCTGCCTTGGTACGGACAGCCGCCTAGGGAAAGCCCAGGGATAGTTCTCCCGCAAGAGCCCGCTGTGCCTTGGAACCATCCCCGAGGCAGACGGGCCCGGCTTTCTCTCTGGGAAGAGGAATCAAGGACACAAATCCCTTGCTTCCCCCAAGACATTCCCCAGCCCCCGTTTCATGGGTCACCGGAGGGACCAGCATGCCCCGTGCAGCCTGCTATCAGGGTTAATTGCAGGAAACCCACATGGCGCTGAGTGTGCGAGCGGAGAGCCTCCAGTGGTTGTAAGGGAAGAAAGCTGCGGTTACTACCCACTGGCCCTTATGACCCATCCCAGGGGGCTTCTTGGCAAGCAATTAACAAAGCTGCTACTTCCTCTCCAAGCTGAAGCTGGCGGTGAAGGGACTGGCGATTCCGCAGAACCGCCTGGATTTAGGACCCTCACAATCCCTGCACAGCCCCTGAGCCAGGAGCTCAGGGAGCGCCCAGACGCGGGCAGATCAGAGACCCGCCAGGGCGTGGGAGAACAAGGCAGGCCACACTCATAGCGCGGCCCCCACCAGCCAGTTGGCTGAGACTTTTTCTCCCTGTCACTGTCCCAGGGCTGTGGTCGCACCTCCAGGCAGCATCGCTGCGTGACACAGGGGCTTCATCTCCCCACCGCCCTCTTCCTCTCCTCTGGTCAGTCCCCACAACCTCCTCGCAGCCCCGCACGCACCACAGAAGCCTCACCCGTGAAAGTGCCTGCTGCCTGCGCCTTGCCTGCCCTGCTGCCTCTGAGGCTGCACCGAGCATGAAGCTGAAGCTCAGACGTTGGGACACGTGGAGAACGGGGAAGAAAATGCGACCTTGCAGAGCAGTTTTGAAGCCCGGAGGTGTTTCCCATCAGCTCTCAGCGCCACAGGCGTTTCTGCAATGAAGGCGGCATGTGCCTCTGAGACAGCCGCATTCTGCCCGCCCTTCTGCCTACCACGTCACCACCCAAGGACACGCCAGGCCAGACCCAGTCACCGAGCGGGGCCACGTGGCAGGAGAGCTGGATACTCGTGGATGTCCCTGCCGCTGTAAGGAGGACGATGTCAAGACCCAGGTCACACACGACTGCGGTCAGAGGTGTGAGTCTCAGCCTGCGCCTGGGACCTGCCCTGGCGCAGGGGGCTCAGCCAGTGTCCGCTGACAAATGTTTGGAGGCACAGCTCACCTCTGCACTGACGCCTGGGCTCCAGCCAGTGACCGTTCAAAAGATAGGAGACTAGTGACGCCAGTCACCGGCAGGAGAGACGGCTTCCCCGCTGTGAGCGCAGCCAGGAAAGGAGTCCCCTGGAGACGCCTGAGTGTGAATCCTGGGACGTCTCTTTTACTCACCTGCCCTTAAGGAAGTGCTTAAACCAGTCCAAGGCCATCTGAACAAATTGGATACTAATGACCACCTCTAGAGACTGTTAATCATGACCCCCCCTTGGAGGGCCCCCGAAAAAGAGGAAGGCTCTCCCGTAAGACAGAGGACACGATGGCTGCAGCAACGGGCTCAGGCTGAGGAACAATTGTGAGGATGGTGCGGGCCCGGGCAATGTTTCACTCAGCTGTGCATGGGGTGGCTATGGGTCAGAGCCGATTCGCACAGAGGGACCTAACACCAACAGCGGTCATGATGTAAACCAGAGACGAGAATGGAACGAGGTTACCCTACAGACTTCCGGGACCCAGGAACAGGCCCCCCGCCTTATTTTTTGATCGTGTGCCCGGTGGTTTTCTAGAACAAGGTTCACATCCTACTATTCACAACGGGTAAGGCACGTAGTAAAGGTCTGACGGAGAAAATGCATGAGGGACAGCATGCTAGCTGGGGGACGGGGTCCAGGCAGGCCATCACCTCGTCCATTGGCTCTCCTCTGCCTTTCCAAAATGCGGGCAGGGACAGAATTTTGGAAATAGGCCACTTCTAGTGCAGATCATCTGTTGGCAAAATAAAACCCCTGACTCCCCCATCTGTGGCCTCAGATCACATGTGTATGTAGTCTGGAGCCTTAAAATCTAAGGAGAGCAGGGACTGGGAGGCCAGAGGGGGGTGAGTCAGTGTAACCTTTCAGGATGAATCCTGGTCAACCATCACATGGCTCGAGGGCAGCGCTTCTCAACCTGTGGGTCGAGACCCCTTTGGGGGTCAAAAGCCCCTTTCACAGGGACCACCTAAGACCATCGGAAAACACTTAAATATTTCACAATGTATAATTACATATTGTGTGATGAATTGCTATGCTTTAATTATGTTTAATTATGTTCAATTAGTAACAACGAAAATACATCCTGCATACCAGATATTTACATTATGTTTCATAACAGTAGCAAAATGACAGTTATAAAGTAGCAACAAAAATAATTTTATGGTTGGGGGTCACCACATGAGGAACTGCAATCAAGGGTCTTGGCATGAGGAAGGCCAAGAACCAGTGCTCTAGGGAAACTGGGGCTGCCCAAATCGGGGGCCATAGCCAAGGCCAGGCAGGCAGCTACACATTCTGGCTTGGGATAACAGTGGTCCAGAGTCAGAATTTAGAAACTTACTTACATAGCAATTTGGTGCCGGGTTTTTATGTCTGTTGCTCTAATGATTAAAAATATGAGTTCATACTGTGTATGTCTTAATTTTAAAAAATTATCTTTTCTGCCAAAAAAAGACGTAGACAGACCTGTGACCCACTGACAGACAGGTCTCAGAGGCAGCCCACCTGCCCACCTGGGACCTCCGTGCCACTGCCAACTCCAACCAAACCGGGGCTGCCGACCCTTGACTAGGGTGGCCCATGAGGGTCAGAGTAAAACTGCCCCACAGGGTTTTCCAGGGCTGGGTTTTTCAGTGGGTCGCTAAACCCTTGTTCTGAGGGACCTCCGATGGAATTGAGCCATGAACCTTTCTTTTAGTGGCCAAGCTCCTTAGCCATGTGCACCGGGACTCCCCATCCTCCCAGGCCCACTGTGCAGATGGAGCCATGGGGACGGGCGGAGCAGGGACTTACCCAGAAGCGCATTGTGGCCATTATCGTCTGGCAAGAACCTCTTGTCGACAGCACACACCAAGAGATGGTCCGGCAGGCTGGGCGACTTGGCCCCCACGAGGAGGAAGCCTGCAGGGACGTCCAGGTGCTCATTGGACATGGAGACCAGGCGCAGGTCCTTCCCCGCCTGGCAGAACCCTGGAGGGAGGGCACACTGGTCAGTGACAGCCCCAGAACAGCTGTGCCTGGGGGCAAAGGGAGCAAATGTTCTCAGGCTGCCAGGGACACGCCTGTCTGAGGTGCCGCATACCTGACCACCCACTCTGAGGGCCAACTGCTCACCGGGTATGCACGAGGCGGAGCACACGCAGGGCGATGATGTGTATGCCCGTCAGTGTCATCCTATAACATGGATTCATATGCAAATGAAGGTCAAGGGGCCGGGGGGTATTATAAACAGAGTAGGGCACATTAAACTGCATATAAGAAAAACCTTAGAAGAAATTGCACATGATTTGGGTTGTTTTCCTAATATCCTGCATTCTTTTGGCAGCTGAGAAATAGGCAAAGGTCAAGAGTCACGCATGCACTCAGTCACGCATGCACTCAACTCAATACACTCATTGCCACGGAGCCGATGCCCACTCATCGTGTCCCTGTAGGAAGGAACAGAACTGCCCCTGGGGGTTTCCGAGTCTGTAAACCATGATGGCAGCAGAAAGCCTCATCTTTCTCCTCCAGAGCAGCTGCTGGGTTCAAACCGCTGACCTCATGGCTAACAGTCCAAGCAGTAACCCACTGCACCCCCAGAGCCCCTGCCATCAAAGCTCAGGGAATAAGAAGCTAGTCATCTATTGTCTTGAGAGGGGACCAGAGACCAGTGGGCACGGTGAAATGTGGATACCATTCCCTTTTAAGCCTAGGACCCTTTTAAATAGACTTCTTCCTCCAGTGATTTGCGATGCTGCAAAAACTCGCTGGGGAGGGAGAGAAGACTGGAAGAGGGAGAGGACTACAATTTATTCAGTAAACCTTGTCTAGGAGTTTTTTCTAGCCAGCTCCTGGGCACATTAGGCCCCATCAATGCCCTGCCCATCTCTGGCTACCAACTGAGATATGGGAAGTAATGGAGGCCAGATAACTCCAGCTACTCCCCCGCCCCCACCCCACAAAACACCCCATGGACTTTTTAAAAGATTGTTCTGCTGTGTGCCTATTGCTTTCTGGTTTGCGGTGTACTTCAGGCAACCTCTTGTACCTGCCCCTAGGAGGAGGGCAGGAGGAAGGTTAGCCTGTGGGGCAGGGAGTCAACAGGCACGAGCCCCGCACCTACTGGGTGTCGGGCACTGGGCTGAGACAAGCTCTGCGAAGCTCTCATTTTAATTAACTTTGGGAAAGTATGCTTGTCCTCAATTTAAGGATATGGAAACCGAGGCGCAATATATATATATATATATATTAAATTTGCTCAAAGCTGCTAAGAGACGGACCGAGGAAGCACCCCCGTCTGACTTGCAGCCTCGGTCAGCCCCTCCTGCATCCTCTCGGGAAGCGAAGCAAACGCTCTGGGTTGAGAATGAGCACCTGGCTGCCCTTCTCATTCCCCATCCAGAGCCCTTCCCAGGGTGCCGTGCTGCCATGGTGTGGGGGCTGCTCTTTAGCACAGTGTCTGCCACGTATACTAGGAGAGCGTCTGAAAAATCACTCATGACCATACAAGATCCCCAGCAGCAGGAGATGACAATTCAGCGTCAAGAAAACCCAAATCCTAACAACCAGACCAATAGGTAACGTCCTGGTAAATGGAGAAAAGGGGTGAAGCTGTCAAGGTTTTTTGTTTTTGTTTTTTGGTCTTGCTCAGAGCCACAATCAATGCTCAGGGAAGCAGCGATCAAGAGATCAAAGGGAATGTGCAGTGCACTGGGTCAACCTGCTACTCAAGACTCCTTTTTAAAGTGTTGAAAAGCCAGGATGCTATTTGAGGATGAAGGTGCACCTGGACCTAAGCCCCTGGTATTTTCAATCACCCCACGTGCATATGAAAGTCAGACACTGAATAAGAAAAACGAAGAATCAACGCATTTGAATGATGGTGTTGGCAGAGACTATTAGAAGTACCGTGCACTGACAAATAACAACCAGATCCGTCGTGGAAGAAGTACAGCTAGAGCGCTCCCTAGAGACAGGAAAGGCGAAACTTCGTCTCATGTTGTCTTTGCGCATGCTGTCGGGAGAGACCAGCCCCTGAAATATGACATCCTGCTTGGTAAAGCAGAGGGGCAGTGAAAGAGGAAGCCCTTCAACAAGATGGATTGACAGAGTGGACAGAGTGGCTGCATCGATGGGCTCTGACGTAAGGACAACTGGGAGGATGGCACCGGACAGGGCAGTGCTGTAATCTCTTGAACTGACACGTGGCACCTAGCAGCAGTGTTGGCATGGGTTAAGCAAGGTCCACAGTCGAACCCCACAGCTGCTCCTTGGGAGAAGATGTGGCTGGCTGCTTCCTCGAAGATCCAGTGTTGGAAACCCCAGGGGGACACTCTGACCCTGGCCTAGAGGGGCACTCTGCGTCAGAATCAGCTAGGGGGCAGTGGATTGGGGTAGGCTGACCATCAGCGCCCCCGACATCCTCGGTAGCCTCGTGGCACGCTAGCAGCCCTACCTTGTCAAGGGCCACGGTGCTGATTTCTCCGTCACTGCATTCACGCAGCACAGGTGAGGGCTGAGAGCCTCCCCGGCGCAGGCTCAAGCCCAGGCCCCAGCGGGGCTCATGGGTCCTCCACAGTCTCCTGGGACGGCCATGCCACCTCCTGGAGGCAGGCCCCTGCCTTAGTGGACTGTTCAGAATCCTCAGATGGGAGATAGTCTCATCCCTCTGCACTTTTGCACATTCCACTTCCTGTCTGGAATATCTTGGCTTCTCTGACTCCTCTCTTGGCTAACTCTTTCCTAATCCTATAAAATCCAGATGAAGGTCCATGTTCTCCAGAAAGCCTTCCCCAAACCCCTCAGTCTACATCACGAGGAGGTTTTCCACTGGTTACCCATCCTCCCCTAGCACTTACTGCGCTGTCTGCAAGGTATCCGCTCACCTATATGCCTCCCCCACTGAGCGGATCTTCTGTACCTTTTGTCTTTGTGTTTCAAGAGTGGAGCTGGGGGGGGGGAAGGGACACAAGAATGTCTTTAATTAACAGACCTAAATAATGACACCTCTTGACTAGCATGGTGACAGGACAGACGGAGGGACGAACACTCAGGGAGTGTGCCCAGAGTGTGGGTGCCAAAGCCAGGCATTGATACCAACTCTCCCTGGGCCCAGGAGTCCTGGCGACAGGATGGGTTGCGACTTGGGTTGCTAATGATAAGGCCAGGAGTTGGAACTCACCAGCCACCAACAGGAGAAAGGGTGCTTTCTGTTCCCGTAAAGACTGACCACCTCAGAAGCAAACAGGGGCAGTTTTCTTCTGTCCTAGAGGGCCGCAATGAATCAAAATTGACTCAACAGCAGTGTGTGTGTGTGTGGTGTGTGTGTGTGTGTGTGTGTGTGTGTGTATGTGTGTGTTTCTTCCCGGACTCCAGAGCAAAAGTTCATATAATTCGACTCAACTGTCACCTTACTTACCAAGGTCAAGCCTCAGTTCCTCACCAAACGGGGCATCCTATAGCTGACTCCACAGAATTCCAGAGATAAGCTTGCTAAGCACTTAAGTACTAACAAATACAGAAGGGTATCCCTTCTCATCAGGTATGAGTTAAGGCCCTGTGAAAGTGGGCCCGAGTTGGGAAGATGTATTCCAGTTTTCAAGCAACAACAAAGGGGTTGGGGGGAGTTGGTTCCATCTCCTAGCGACCCCGGGGCGTGTCCAGCAGCACAAAACCCTGCCCAGTCCTGCGCCCGCCTCACTACTGCTCTGTGATGGAGCCCACGGGTTTAGCTAGCCACTGGGCCCTCCACCCTGCTGAGGGCCTCCTCTCTTTTTGCTGCCCTCCACGTAACCAAGCATGAAGTCCTTCTCCACCCGTCTCTCCCGATAACATGTCCAAAATATGTGAGATAAAGCCTCACCACCCTTGCCTCTAAGGTGCATTCTGGCTGTACTTCTGCCAAGATAGAACTACTTTCTCTTTTTGGCGGTCTGTGATACTTTCTATATGGTACTTAGCCAAAACCGTAGTTCAATTGCGCCGGTTTCTCGTCAGACATCCTTATTCCATGTCCAACTTTCACAGGCACAGGTGACCGATTGAAGAGACCGAGGTTTGGGTCAGGCACACCTTAGTCCTCAGAGTAACATTTTTGCTTTGCAACAGCCAAGGTCTAAGGATGAATTTTTGGATCCCAAGCCATTTGCAAAGTTAAGGTTGCTCAAATACAGCTGAGGGGTTGTGTCACAGACCTCAGGGGACAGCCAACAGGGGCCCTTCTCAGCCGCAGCAGACCCCGGCCTGGCCATTAGATGCTGGGCAGCTGGGCAGGTCAGGCCACCCAAGAGGTCAGCAGCATCTTACCGTCAGTGGTGCAGCAACCTTCCGGTGCAGGGTGCATCTGGTAGGAATTTGGGGGACTACTTGATTCCAACCCTCCTTCTCCCTCTTCCTCCTCTTCCTCATTGTCCACTCGGCTTCCAGCTAGACACGGGGAAGAAAAGGGATGCGTTAGGCAGGCAAGTACAATCCCAAGGCCTGGACGTTTCCTCCAGAACATTTTTCCCACCTGGGGACCACAAGCCCAAAGAAGGCACAGGACCTACGGGACTGAGCCCAGATTCGTTCCCCTCCAGGGCTGGACACATCTTCAGTGTTCAATCACTCATTCATCCTCACAAAGCCACTGGAAGTCTGGCACTGTCAGCCTTTGCTGGCAGGCAGAAACTTGGGGCCTTGAGGTGACACACCTTGCCTGAAAGAGCAGGACAAACAGACTCGAGCTCTCATCCTGGCTCTTGACTTTGAATTCAGGCTACTTTCCCTTCTGACTACACCACGGCTCTGCACGCACACTGAAGAATGCATAGGCCCAGGACGTGACTGGCTGACAGGGCCTAGCACAAAGGCTGGGCAGATTTTTCAAAACAAGTCATTGCTGTCAAATCAACGCCATCTCCTGGCGACCCCAAGCAGGGCAGTGAAATACTGACCATGGCTCTTCTGGCCAAAGTCTCCAACTCCCACCCAACAGCCTTTCCCTGGACAGGTCTGATAAGGTGCGGCAAGATACTGATAGGATCCCCTGTGGGGGGAGGTCGGATGAGCAGGCATTCCCCCCCTGAAGGCAATCACTTGCCAGACTGCTGTCTCATCCCTCCACAGGGGTGGGCCTGCTCCCTGCCTCTGGGGACAATGGACAGGTTCCTGTAGCTTGGGACCATTAGCTTGGTTCCTGTAGGCGGAGTTTTCACCCTACTGATAATGTTCAGAGACCACCCCCTAGACCACCCTCTCATTGCTGTGTAACCTATAGTGCAGCTCCTTCCTGTGACGTATGTCTCTACCTGTAATTAGTGGGCTGGCTTGCCCCCAAAAGGTATATAGGTGTGAGTCAGCAATATAGCTCTCTCTGACTCTGAGCTCCTTACTGCTCACTCCCTGGTCACTCCCCTCTCCCTGGTTCCCTTACCCTCCTTCCCTTCCCCCTCTCTCCACGTGGACCACCAAGCTGGGCTGAGGTGAGCGATGGTACTATGTAACATGTCAGACTGTATTACTGTAATATCGCTCATGCTCTTGATGACTTTAATATAATGCTTATATATCTCAACCGTACAATTGTGCATTACTGAACCCAGAAGTAGTATTACTGAACTCATAGGAGTAGCAGCGGGTGGGGGCTGGTCCCCTCACCCTTCCTCCGCGCCATTCTTTAATACTACAATCCCCCGTGAGCAATTGCAAACAGGGTCCCTTGGAGTGCCATCTGCTGTCTAAAATGACCCCTCTGAGAAGCAGCAGGAGGAAGGATCTCACCACCAGCAAGATCCTGAGTGGACCCGAGATCCCTGCACAGAGAACCTCCTGGATCCAGGTGACAGCTACACTAGCAGAGAAGCTGCAGCAGAACCAGGAGCCGGAGCAGGGAATAAAGTGGTGGACTGCCCAGCCCACGCGTGCTTTTGTGCAAGAAGCTGGCTTACAGAATGCGGTGCCTCTGGGCACTTATCGGAGAGTTTGAGCTTGCTGAGCCATGGAGGAGGAGCTGAGTGCCCCTGAGCAGAGGCGTAGTGGAGTGAGGTGCCTCTTGAGCTGGGTGTGCCGACCCACGGAGGTGAATACCTTCAGGTTGCGGCTTCTAGTGGGGGTGACATGGCCCTCCGGGCATTGATTAACAGACCGGAAAGAACTTTGTAACATGTGACTTGGCCCTGAGCATTGCTCAGTTGCACCGCAACTGGTGAACTTCCTGAATAGACCTCTCACGATGAATTTTGCCTGTGATCCTGAGTAGCCATTGTGTTGGACATGGGAAGGCAGGAGGATAACAGAGAGGAGGCTAACTGGAAAGAACGCACCCCCTACGTGTCAGAAAGAACCGGGTTCCAAAGGGTTTTCAGCTGGTTTCTCTGAAATAAGTTGCCAGGTCTTTTCTTTTTTTTTTTTTTAATCAATTTATTGGGGCTCATACAATTCATCACAATACATAGATCAATTGTGTAAAGCACATCTATATATTTGTTGCCCTCATCATTCCCAAAATTCGCTTGCCTCTTGGGTTCCCGGAATCAGCTCATTTTCCTTCCCCCCCCCCTCCCCTTCCCTTTCTCCTCCCCTTTCCCCCATGCACCCTTAATAATTTATAAATTATTACTGTATCCTATATTACACTGTCCGGCGTCTCCCTTCACCCACCCCGCTGCTGCCCGTCCCCCAGAGATGAGGCCATACGTGTCTCCCTGTGATCCATTCCCCCTTACGACATCCCCCTTCCCTCCTGGTATCACCACTGTCACCCCTGGTCCTGAGAGGTTCTTCTGTCCTAGATTCCCTGCGTTTCCAATTCCCATCTGTACCACTGTGCATCATCTGGTCTAACCAGGTCTGCAAGGCAAAACTGGGGTCCTGGTAGTAGGGGGGAGGAAGCGTTTAAGAACAAGAGGAAGGTTGTGGGTTTCATTATTGCTATACTGTACCCTAAGTGGCTCATCTCCCCACTACCCCTCTGGAAGGTATGTCCAGTTGTCTAGAGATGGGCATTGGGTCTCCATCGCGCGCCACCCTCATTGACAAGGATATGACTCTTTTCTCCCCGCCTTTGGTGTTTAAAGCCTGGTCCCTTTGGCCCTTCATGATCACACATGTTGGTGTGCTGCTTCCGTGTGGGCTTTGTTGCTTCTGGGCTGGATGGCCACTTGTTTACTTGCCAAGTCTCTTCTTTAGAGGCACCACTGGGTGGGCTGGAACCTCCACCTTCCGCAGTTATTAGCTCTGAGCATGTTAATCAGCCGTACCTCCCCGTATGCTAACTCTCTTCCTTGCACACAGGAGGCACTCTAATAAAATGATTTGCATGGAGATACCAGGGTATAACATCCAGCCGTTTACGAGTCCGGAAAGGACCCTGGTGGCCACCGAGTCAGCGCTGAAGCCCTCCAGCTGCTTCCACACGGAAAGATGGAGCTGTGTGCTTGTGTGCTTTCACAAAGATGATAACTTTGGCAACCCCACAGGGCAGCTTTACTCTGGGAGTTGTAATCCAATCCACGGCAACAGGCGTAGATAAGGAAACTGAGGCTCAGCGGTAGCCGGTCAAATTGGCCCCCTAACTAGGCAGCCAACTACTGAACAGCACAGCCAGCATGTTCCAGGGCGCCTCTGATGTCCCCGCTAACACCCCACCACCCCACGCCACTGCTCGGTTTAGAATACACAATATGAAGGTGTCTGCCGTGGAGATGCTCCCAAGGAATACAGCCCTCCTACCCTTAGTGCCTCTTGTACTATGAACTCTAGTCTCTGTGCCCATGTTTGTCATCGCATGTTGAAGGTAGTTCTCGGCTAGGCTAACGGACAGGATTACAGGGAGATCAAGGAGAGACTGACTGTACACCCACTCCCCGCCCTTCATTCCTTGGGGGTTCGATCTGCTGAAAGACAAAAGCCACTGGCTCTGTGCACACGAGGCAGCACTCAAAGTAGGGAGAAGAAACCTTCCCGGGACCGCCGAAAAAAGGGCCATCAGAGTCCATCAAGGTCTCGATCAGGGCACCCCTGGGCAGGACACAGGAGCCGGGCAGAGACCGGAGGCCGAGGCCAGGAGACCGTGAGACAGAACAGAGGAGCAGCCCCAAGACTAGGAGGCTGGGAGGTAGAGCAGCGAGTTGGCTCCGCGGCCCATGGAGGCTAAAACCAAGGGAAGACGTGACTGATAGGCTACAGAACACCGAGACTTGGCTGCTGGCTGAGGAGAGGCATTGCCTGTGGACCAAGGACTGTCTCCTGAATGCTTTCTGATCCTAGTTTGTAGTAATCTGCTAACTTCCCTCATCTCACTGTTATCCCTAAGCTCCCCGGGCGCCCAAGGGAATGTCTGGTCACTTTTGCTAAACCGTAGAGCACAGGAATTCGGACTCTCAGGAAGAAAGAGAGAGGAGGGTTTTAAGCCTCAGAGAGTCAGGACAGCAGGATTAAAAGGCCGCAGGTCAACTCAGACATTCCAGGGCCTTTGATGGGATCTGGGATCGCTTAGCCAGGAAGCGACTGAGGAGACATTCTTAACCAGGAACAGACGATGCCAGACGTGTCTGCCCAGGTCTCTCGGCAGGAGGAGGACTTCAAAATGGCCTTCGTTTGGGGGAGCTCAGGGCCTTAGTGATCAAACACAGGAAACCAAAGCTTCTTCCTCTACAGGGTGTGGCTCCACAGCTCCGGGCCTTTCGGTTCAATGTTCTGTGACCCAGGACAAGACACTGCGGGCGTTCTCAAGGCCAGGACGAAAGGAACCGACCGACGCCTTGTTTAATCAATCAACTCTAATCAACCCCTGATGCCCAGGTGAGTCCAGCTCATAGCAGCCCCAGGGGACCCGGCCCCACAGGGTTGCCACGGCTATTTTCTTCATGGGAGTAGAGCACCACTCCTTCCCCTGCTTGGTTTGTGGCCCTGAACCAACAACCTCTCTGGCGGTGGTGGCAGCGAGTGCTTTAACCTCCGCACCACCAAGGGCCTTTCTTTAATAAATCCCTATCGCACAATGTAGACACAGTGTCTGCTCTGTTCTGCTGGTCCTCTTAAAATATAAATGACTCGTAAAATGTCTTTCTCCTACAAGGGGGTGGTAGGATCCCGATTTAAAGAACAAAGCCATATAAGTCCCTTCCACCCCCACCCCATTTCCGGCTACAAGCAGTCTGGGGCATCCATAAAATGAAAACAGATCCAAGGCGTGTTTGGTATACTAGCACTCCGGGTCATAAAAACAATCTTGAATGTTGTTGTCTGAGGAAGGACAGCAATGAGATAAGAAACCCCAACAGAGACAGACAGACCGAGAGACAAAACAAGACAAGGATTAGACGGAGCAGCCTGCGCCAAGGTTTACGAGGCAGAAAGCCTGGGAGAGAACTGAGTGTTTGGTTTATGGGGACAATTAGCCAGGGGGGAAAGAGTCTCCCCGCCCCTCCACACCCAGCACCCTGCACCAGGGAGACAGGTTGTCAGAGAATCTCCCTCTGTCTGTTGACCAAGAGCAAGAAATCTGGCAGGGAGGGCAGGTCGAGCTGTCGCCTGGCTGACTGCTGGCAGGCAACCTTCATCACTGTCAACAGAGGGCAGAAAACTGTGGGGCCAGTGGTTCGGAATGCTCAGCGTGTTGAGCTTCTCGCCCCCTGAGAAGCCAGGGAGTGAAAGATGCTGCCCAGGATGCTCTACCCAAGCTCTCACCAGGGCGGAAACCCCCACAGTGCTTTCTCGCTCTCAGTGAGCGCCCATGTCTGCTCAGCCCTTTCCCCTGAAAGCTGCAAAAGCACAGGTGGGACCACTCCTTAGAGGCTCCCCCGCATCAGCAAACCCGTCTTTCCGTGGCTAACCCACGCAGGGGTCAGCACTTTGCGCATGGCTCGGCACCTGTTGGCCCTATTCCTGCATCGCTGGCACTAACGATGCTGAAGGCTGAAATGGTAGGGATGACCGCTGAGTCCCTACTCCACATATGTCTTTGGAGCTGACTCCAAATCACAGTCTATAAAATATCCTATTTCTTATTATTTCTTTTATTAGTGTTCTTTTCCAACGGTCTTATTGGCATATCATTCACATGCCACACAATTCAATATCAAGTTGTTTCTGAACTCCCTACCATCCCACAGCAGTGTTTCCTGGGCCAGAAAACACAGGCCCTTTCAGTGTGGACACCAGAGACTATGTTCACTTTTCACGCAAGGTTCTGTCCACCGTCTGGTTTCTCTCAAGACTCAGATCCACTCGGTGAGATGAGAGCCTTCGCTGTGCTGTTTGCAAAGTTAATCCAAGGAGCACACTTTCCAACACTGACTGGAGACGTGCCTCCCTGCTATGATAAGGAGCTGTCAGATGTCAGAGCCTCAAGACAGGTTCCTGCAAGACAAGCATCACCACCCCAAACCTCACTTTTCTTTATGTCGACCCTCCTCGACCACCCCCCACCCCCTCCCATCCACACATGCAGTCATATACATACACTGCTACACACACACACACACACACACACACATTCATATGCCTATATTCCTACACACAGTCATATACATACTCCTACACACACACACTCATATAACTATACTCCTACATACAGTTATATACATACTCCTATACACACACACACAGTACCTGAGGCACCATATGCTTTCTAATGAATTAATCCATGTTTTAACGGGGTCCTCTCTCATTTCAATAGGTTAAGTGAAGGACCCCCTGGTGGCACAGTGGCGAAGCACTTGACCACCAACCCCAAGTTCTGTGGGCCGAGCTCCCCACTGCTCTCGGAGGAGGAGAGCAGTCTGCTTCCATAAAGAGGACAGCCCTGGAAGCCCCCTGCACAGCCCCACCTCCTCCTGTGGGGGCCGCTACGCATCAGGATCAACTCTGTCCCAGAGAGAAGCAAGGGAGGTCTACAGAGACCTCAAGCGAAAGACATAAACCCACCACAAAACCCCTTCAAGAAAAGTAACTTGTCTCGTCTGAGGAACTGCAGGATTGCTTTTAATAGCTACAATGACACAGACTGAAGTAGAAAATGTACAGTATTTTATCCCTCGGACAGCCACGTCTACCTTAAAGTTGTCCCTGCACTTGAAGGTCATTGATTCGTCTAGTCTTGCTCGCCACACAGTAAATTCTTAAGGGCTGGTTCTTGGCTATCTGTAGAAGGCTGTGGCAGCAATCACAGAGACAAACGACCCGGGCTAATGTGCAGCGATGCGGCCACAAATCACAGATCAAAGAGGGGAAGCATCTAGCTGAGGTGCGCGGGCAAGTGAAACCGCCAGGCTGCTCCAAGTGAAAACACCTCTCCTGCCTGCATCAGCCGGGTGGCCGATCCCAGTCCCTGCGATACTATGCCCTGCTACATTCCTGAAACTGCTTCTAAGTCTAGCCACGCCAAGAACCCGGGTGCAGCTTTCTCGACTCAACAGTGCTTTCCGGCCAGCGCCGTCAAAGAAGCAACTGGCCCCTCACGCCAGCTGTGCAAGCTGCACAGAAACACACGGGGGTGCCTCCTACCTTCCAGAGCAGAGAGCTGCTGCTCGGCCTCCAGGTAGAGCTGGGAGAAGATCGGCCTGGGGACCAGGTTGTTGGAGCGCAGGGAGGCTTCGATGGAGTTATGCAAGACTTCTTCGAAACGCGTGGTCTTCAGCTGCCCGGCGTAAGAATTTCCCATCTTCTAAAACCAGGCTGGGTCTTCTGTTTAAAATGGCATTTCAGTTTCGGTTATTAAAAAGAAAGGACAAAAGTACAGAACAACCCCCCCACACACACACCCACACTCACACCCACGAAGCCAAGAGTAGAAGGATAATCACTGGCAAGGAGGGAAGGGCCTTTGTTCGAGAGAGGCAAGGAGAGGCCCGGGCAATTACAGGAAGTTATATATAAGTAACAGCTTTCTCCAAGGCGGCACACACAGAGCAGGGTCCGACACCTCTCTGCATATCTTACTCGAGGTGGGTTTCACAAGACCTCCACCCAGCTCTTTCCAAAGAGGCAATCCAGTGCCCGCGAGAGGTCTTTTGTGACAGCCCTCCAACGCCGATGGATGGCCCTTACAGCGACTGAGGAGGCAGCCAATCCATGACAAGGGGCCCCCGTTTTATGACGGCCACGACCTGCCTGCCTCACCTTCTCAGAAGGTAGGCCAATGGGGTGCTTTCGCCAGTGCCTTTTCTGTCAAAAGGCTGACTGCTGATCTTCACGATTACTCTACCCTAAAACCTCGCGGCCGTCCTGTCAATTCTGACCCATAGCGACCCTGTCGGACGGAGCAGAACTGCCCCTGTGGGTTTCTTTACGGGAGCAGCGAGCCTCAACCTTCTCCCACTGTTCTAGAGAAAAGTATTGCCGATTACATATAGAGGCCTGGGAACGACAGGTAAGGGTTGAAAAACAATGAGAAAATCATCACTATTCTCATCCCCCAACATAACAAATGGTTGACAAGGTATGCAGTTCAATAGCTTTGGGTCCATTCAGAGAGACTACATAACCATGACTCCGATCAAATCTAGAACAGTTTCATCAATCACCCCAAGAATCCTTGTACCTTTAGCCATCATCGTCTAATCCCCGCCAGACCCCCTCCCGGTCCCTGGCAACCACTAAGCTACTCTCTTGCTCGCTCACTCACTCTCATTTGTCTATTGGGATGGTTCACAAACACGGACTCATGCAATATGTGGTCCTTTGCGACTGGCGTCCCTCACTCAGAGTCTGTTTTTGAGGTCTGCCGGGGTGGCGGCGCGAGTTGGGACTTGATTCCTTCTGCAGGGTTTTAACGGGCTCTCTCCTGGTTTCATTCTCTTCAGGAATTGGAGGAGGGAAGGAACGTGCTACTCACCCTGGGACCCAACTTCTGAGTAGGCATCTACGGGACCTTCTGAAAAAGATGGTTTGAGCCACTTGCCATGACTGCGTACACAGGACTGAGCGGGTCCGCCGCAGGAGGTGCTGTGAGCAGCCCCGACAGTTCTTGTTGTTCACAGAAATCACTAAATTTCTAGTTTCCAGTCCTTCCCAGAAATCATGGTTTAAATCCACATGCCTCACTGATGTTTGTTATTTGTCTTCCAAATTTCATTAAATCGAGCTTTTCTACTTCCTTTGGATTTAATTTCTTGGACTTTTTCTTCTTTTCTTTTTATTTTATTTTAATTTTTTGTTGTTCAAAAACTTATCCAAACGACTCCTGTTCCTTGTATTTTCCTATCATCTTACTCCTTCAAGGCTCTGCACTTTCTCCTGAGGATTTTCTTTTCTTTCTCTCTGGCACGGAGGAGGCCGGCTGAGGCGCTGTGTAAACTTCCTGGACAGTTGGCAATCCCGTTGAGTTCTTCTTTGATCCAGACTTATCCTGGAGGGAGAATTATGTTTCTCAATAGCTAAGTCTGGAGAGAGACAGTCAGCTTATTTTTATGTCCACTTCTATCGGCTCATCCTCACAACGGTAGCGTAGAGAAACCCTAATTGTCAATTATGTTAAGGGTTTCCTTGTGAGGAAGGCTTGGTGGATTGTTACAAAGACTCGACAGATCTAAGAGGCCCGTATCAGTTTCGTTTCAAGCATTGATAGGAGATGGATAAAAGACAAATTTTAGTCCTCAGGTCTCAGAGGCTCCTGCTATCTTTCTTGTTGATTATTCTGTCAATGTTTAGAACGGCATGTGTTTAATAACAATAATAAAAAGTACCAAGATGTCCGCAGGGAAACACAAGCTCACAGGGGACCTGCCACCTCCCTGCCCGCACCTTGAGGAACTCACACAGCCCAGGGCTTCAAAAGCCAGGAGGCGGCTCCCTTCCTCAGAGTCAGGCAATCTTGGGGGTTCAGCTGCAGGCAGAGCAATTTCAAGACGTTACCTTTAAGGAGGTCTGTTTCCTCTGGGAAGTGAAATGAGCAGGCGGGTCCTGTGTGTCAATTGTGAGGCAGGTTTAGTCTCCACTCTTTCAATGAAGAGTTAATGGAAGCCATTAAGCACTTCCTGCTGGCCACAGTAACTCCTGACCACAGGGCCCCTGCTTACAGCCCAGGGGAAATGACCCGCAGGGAGGATTGCTGCAGGAATTAGCCCCCACCTAAAGAAAGGGCTTCTGAAAGAGGGGTCAGCGGCTGGAGCAACCTAATAGCTGGAGCCAAAAGAGGCTCTGGGACCCCCCTGTCTACCTTTATTCTGACTCCATTCACGCCTGCCTGCCTTCCAGTCCTGGCTGAGCGATGCCAGCCACGTCTGGGAACACTCGTGGGTTTCTCAATCCAAGGTGGACCGCTAAAAGCCGCCGCCAATTAATAACATCACAAATGCCCCCGATTCCTCTAGCAGCTTTGTCTCAGGGGCTTAGAGAAGGCCCTAAGCCGGGCTCATTGTACAAGGAGGCCCCACATCTCATGCATTAGGACCAAAGGAAACCAATCAAGGGAGCCAGAACCTACCTACCCGACTTCCTGTTCAACTCACCTGATGGCTGGTTGCCATCACCCAAAAGACCCCACTGGGCAATCCCAACCATAGCTTCCCACCCATATTCCCACCTCCGGCAAGTTGACCCCAGCCCACGGCAACCCCCTTGGGCAGAACAGAACAGAACTGCCTGTGGGGTTTCCGACTTCTCTAACTCTACAGAAGCAACTGCCACCTCTTTTTTACAAGCCGACCAGCCCCTCTCCAAGGATGCATTTGGGATCACAAAGACAAATAAAGATGATAAGCCCCTGGGGACCAATTGTGAGAGCAACATACCAGGAAGGGAAGGGGCAGGTGGGGGGAGAAAGGGGGAACTGACCACAAAGATCTACATATAACCCCCTCCCTGGAGGACGGACAACAGAAATGTGGTGAGTGTAGGACATGACAAAATAATAATAATTTATAAATCATCAAGGGTTCGTGAGCAGGGAGGGAAATAAATGAACTGATACCAAGGGCTCAAGGAGAAAGCAAATGTTTTGAGAATGATGATGGCAACAAATGTACAAATGTGCTTGACACAATGGACGGATGTATGGATTGTGATAAGAGTTGTACAAGCCCGCGATAAAATGATTCAAAATAGAAAGAAAAAAAAGACTGGTGAGTCCGGCTGGCAGCGCAGCAAGCACTGGAATAGTATTGCAATATACTGACTGCAAGAGATACGGCAGGGCGTTCCTGCAGATGGGTGGCAGGACTCTATCTTAGAGACAAGGCACCACCTGCAGAGGTGAGGCTGGGGTCAGAAGGGAGGCAAGCCTGAAATGATGCAATGACCTCAGAGTCCCACGTTTGACAGATGGGAAACAGAAGACCTAGGCAGGTCTAGCACGGGGTCAACGGCTAACTCACACTTGACCACTGAAAACACCTCCCACAATGGAGCCAACACCCAAAGGCGTCCTTGGCCCGCTGTCCTCTCCCACTGACCTCCCATCCACAGTCCACTCTGCTGCACTCCTACGGCCTTCACTAAGGTCTCTCCACTCCTGGGGCCGCTGCCAGACCCTGACACTCCACACCCCTCAGCCTACATCGCAAAGCCCTGACCAATGACCCCAAGTGCAGTGCACCAAGTTCTTCCACTACAGACGCTGATGTCACACCCACCATAGCGGAAGCGGAGGTCCAATCGCAGGCCTCACCTTAAAGCACCGATGGTCTGGCTGTGGCTGACCGGGAAAAGCATGTGTGACCCCCCTGCCAAGCGCTGACCCCTGGGTCTCAGTGTTCTAACCGCTGTAGGGTGAGCACAGTTACTTTCCCTGGAAAGGCTGAGCTGCCGGTCATGGTGGAGAATAAAAAGAGGGAGGTGTGATCATCCGAACATAACTGCTGGGATTTTGTTGTGTTGTGTTTTCTTTGTTGTTCTTGTTCACTGGGACAAGTCGTGCTGTGACATAAAGAGCGCTATGGGTGCAGCGTGGAAGAAAACAGCAAGAGCTCGGGTGCCCAAATGGTACCTAAAATGGGTCAAGGAGGAAGACTAGGATACACCTAGCCTATAGGTGGTAACAGCATTTGACAAGAGGGCGGGAGAGTACAGACGATGAAATCTCATCATGTCGAGCAAGCAGTTGGTCAGACGAGGGGGGACTAATTCACAGGATGACAATGTGAGAGAATCCTACGCATTGTGTGTGGAGATCAGAACCATTTGTAAGAGGCAGCAGTCTCTGGGACTTTGGAAAGAGGCAGTTCCCATATGCTACGTATGATGCTTTGGACAGGCGCATCTGAGAGAGGCATTGATGATAAAATTGAAGGGCAGGCCGAGAGGCAGAGAGACCTGCAGGTGGTTCTTTCCATCAGCCTGAAGGTGTCTGCTCGTTCTCAAGAGGCAGGCACAACGGTTGCTTGAGGGCACTCACTGCCCATGGAGATGTGGCTGGCTGGCGGGCCTGAGAAGAGGTCACTAAATGTGGACCTCCTTCACCAAATCACCCGTAAACACAGCTCTGTGACAGCTCAAATTCCAAAATGAGCACTTATCTTCCACTGCCCTGTCTGACCCTGGAAACACAGAGGGATTTGACCAGATCAAGCAAGTTGACCTTGGAGATGAGTTTGGAGCCAGCAGAGTGAGTTATCTCGAGGTGGCGAGACATGTGATCCAAGCCATTCTCTTCCCAGGACACTTATAAATCAAGCTGTCCTCATTTAAAGGCCAGGGTTAGAAGGAGAAGAAGCAATCATCAGGTTGAGTTGAAGTTCAATTACAGTAAGTGCTGGGCAGAAGAATTATGTGAGGTCGGACAAAGGGGCAGATTGAATGCAAACACTGTCACTGCTCGCTCGCTCTCTCCACTGGCATGACAGCAGAGGAATAAAGAGGTATAAACACCCAGAGACAGGGTGCTAGGAGAGAAAAACAGCAGCAGATAAGAACTGCCAAGAAATTTAGAAGACACAGAACAGAAGGAGTCATGACAGCAGACTTGAAAAGTGTCAGAAGGCACACCCGCAGCGGAGAAAGGCGTCTTCAGACATGCAAACGATTCAAATCTCCAATAGTCAGAACTCACAAAAAGCTCAGGAACTGGAGGCAACAGGAACTTCTACAGACCGCAAGGGCAGCAATGGGCATGGGGCAGAACATCGGGGCTCCTTCTCCCTCCCCATTGTTGACAAGGTTCAACTGGACCCTGTGACCCAGGTCAGCAGGTACGACATGAGGCAGGGCCGAAAACGACCTCAAAGTCTGTCCCAGTGCCCCCACGACCCGAAAGACGAGCAACCCTAAGAAGCCGTCATAGCCCAGAGCAGCATCAGGCAAAGAAGCAATTACACATCTGTACACGGGAGATGGTTTGGGAGCACTGCCCGCCCCCAAAATAACTTACCAGGAAGAACCACTCAGGAAAGAAGGGCAGAAAATGGGTGCACAACTTGAAAGTGTCGTCGGTGTCCCCGGATTGGACCAACAGGCATTGTTGAGTTGATGGTGCTGCACGGTATGTCTCAATGGCAGTCACAACCGAAATAGCTTCCACGTGAAATTGTCAAGACTCACAGCAAGTCATACCACATAATATATAAAATCTAAACTGAATGCTCAGCGATAATAAAAGCAGGCACGAGACAATGAGTTTCATTTTACTGTGAACGTTTTGAAGCCCCCTGAACAGAGCTTCTCAGAGTTGACACGGGGCGGGGGGCGCGCTGCATGCGGGGAGCTCCCAGAGAAGGCGCTGAGTGGCATGGTGCACGCCGCCGGGGGTGCACGCTGTAAAAGACATGCTAAATCCACTTTATGCCCATCCCACACACACACCCTTTTTTGTTTGGGTAAAAGCAAACTTCTGCTTCTTCTGAGGGGTTTTCACAAAGTTCATGAGGAAATAGGGTGGAAAGACAATCGAAGGCTCCCACAACCTTTTTGAAGCCCTCTCCTTTCTTTCAATTAGCGAAAACTAGTCCTGACGTGGGTCTTTCGGGA